ACGTGGCTGCAACAAGGCGATACTTATTATCTTTGTCTTGTTATTAATTTTCATTTAGGGCAACTTCTAACCATCGCAGTCAGTCTGGTCTAAAAACAACGTCAAACTGTTCCTGTCCGATAATGGCGATATAGTCAGGCGATACGACTGTGGCGACTGGCTAGCGCTGGAACTGTGATTGAATTTATAGGGTTCAAGTAACAGTTCACTGGCTCCGCAACGGTACCAGGGCATGATAGCATGATTGGGTAACAACGCGCAGCACGCGCGCAGGCATGCAACGCCGTCTGGTATACACCTGCTGCGGGCGCGCCCTAAGTTCAGGGGTGCATGTACATGTACATGATTGTACTAGTATGAAGACATAGGAAAGTTCACTCTTGGTGAGGTAAATCCGATCGCACATAACGAACTTAACCCTCACATCATCGGCTCCTGACTCTGAGTCCTGATCCCCGGCTGTGAGAAATACATGTACATGTACATGTCGCCTGAGCTGATGATTGCATTGCGCAAGAACATCTGAGGTGTGACAATTCTGTAAACCTCCGCTGTGCCTTTTGTGTGCATATGACGTGTGTATATGACGTGTGCATATGGCGTGTGTATATGACGTTTGTATTTCGAGCAGACCTGTTCTTACCCCCATGACAATGAAATCATCCGATGGGTATCCATCATAATGCTTTTGCATACATTTGGGTAGCAAATATATACCCAATGCGGCAGCAAATTATAATTTTTTTTTTACAAAGACCACTTTATGCCAAACATGAGATGCAGCTAGGGCCTAGGGGAAGCACGCACAACCTGAATCGTGGCAGTGGTGGTGAGGTTTAGGGAGCTTCGCCGACCTAGGGTCTCGACTTCATAGCCACCTAGACGCACCAAGAGTGGGTGGGGGAGGGAGAGCGAGAGCGAGAGAGAGAGAGAGAGAGAGAGAGAGAGAGAGAGAGAGAGAGAGAGAGAGAGAGAGAGAGAGAGAGGGAGGGAGAGGTTGCGAAATTGTTAAAGTAAAATAAAAGGAACATTGATGTATGAGATGATTGGTGAGTTGACTGCAGCTATATGTATGTACACCTCGCTACCTACAGTGATTATTACACATGTCATACACAGCGCTGGCAACTGAAATCCGATCCCCGAGCGATGAGTTCGCCTTCTAGCGGTCTCTATTTTCGTAGTTTTACTATCCTGTGTTGGGTCTTTGCGATGTGAGCGCACCGCACTGGGGTCGGATTTCAGTTGTCAGCACTGTAGTACAGTCATGTACACTGTCTGTACTGTTAGCTAGTGTTAGCTAGTACGGAGGGGGAGAGGCTAGATCTACAGAGTACAGTAAACCATGGGTATACGTCGTAGGCACACTGTGACAGGTCTGCCATATTACCGAGGAGCAAGCCCGCCTTGATCAGTGTGATGTCGCAGCGGATGGAGTCTGGGGTGGCCGTTTGGAACGCACCTTTGTTGATGTAAGGGTTTTCAACCCGTATGCTAGTACAAACCGGTCCACTCCAGTCTCCAAAAGCTACCAGCGGCATGAGAAGGAGAAGAGAAGAAGCTACGAGCAGAGAATCCGCAATGTAGAGCACGCGTCGTTTGTACCGGCTGTGTTTGCAGCCACTGGAGTCTTCAGGAATCACCGTTGCACTAAAGAACAAAATAAGAACAAAGGAAATAATAAAGCAATGAAGGTAGGGTAGCAGGATACAATAACAGCACTAAAATATCGAGGTGTGATTTCTCACAAATTAAATTATCGTATCCGTTCCCGAAGGGAACTCACGACGGCCGCTAACACCCGATAAACCCTAGCGGCAGATGCAGCGCCTAACGGTGGGGGTGAGTGGGTAAGTCTCACAACCACTGGCACAAGTGCCGAAAGCGACCCCATTAGCTGCATCCATGTACCCCTTGTGCCTGGCCACAAGTTCCCAGTTGACTGTGGGTAGCAGCATGGCTGGAAAAACCGCTCCCAGGCAGGACTTGAACCAGGTACCTCTCGTATCTCAATCATGGTCTTTGACCAACCCACTGTGCCTGCCTGGTCAAAAGTGAGCAGAAAACAACCAAACTAAAGTTTTTTTCTGAACGTTCGGGGTGACAGACCTCGACCAAAAACGAAATTTAATACTTCTCTGCCCACCCTGCACTCCACTCGTTTCGCACACATTCACACATTCACTCATACGTGTACACCACTATTGAACACGTCAATATTGCCAGTGGGGGGGGGGGGGGGGCACCACAGCACAAAGACAAAAATAGTTGCGTAGGTAGGGTTCATTACACCTCCGTTCTGCACTGAAATTTTCATTCATGTTGATTTGTCATACATGTACTTAGTTAGGGAGTGCACACACATTGCGCATGCGCCAATATCTTCTATAAAGCAATCATATTATTTTACCGATAATCTTCTGAAAATTGTAGTCAAGTTGCTGTCTGATGATCGGTTAAAACCGTGAAACTCAGAGTTACAGAAGAAACGCTTTTGATCCCTCTCAAGTGTACTGTGTACCGAAGTACATGTACATGTAGTTCAACTCATTTCATTCATTTCTGCTCTGATGAGTTCCCGTCATCAAAATGGAACGAAACAAGGCTTATCAGGAGCAACGTCTAGCTGTTGTGGAGTGTGGCTGGTGAACTGATGTTCATGCTGGTGTCTGCAAGCGTCGTGTGGTCTCGAGATCTCGTCTGGTCACAAGAAATATCTACCGGCACTACTAGTGATCGACGGACCTAATGAAGATGTCATCAACGAACTAGAGTAGGCACTTCACCCCATTTTTTGAAATCGGGTTTTTTCCAGGTTTATCATCGGTAATCGATGGTGGTGGGTATCACATGGTCACACAGAAAATTTTATTGAAATCCACAGTGATACCACTCAGATATGAAGGGTTGAAGATAGGCAGTTGCATAAGGCGAAATCAATACAATTTGTGGCACCAACAGCATCTCTGAAGTATTATCAGTGGATATAGTCACAAAACATCAGAGTGTTTTTTTCAAGCACACATCACTCACTTACACCAACAACCATGTATGGATCGAAACAATACAGATCAAAGTTCAGAATAGTGAAGAATACGGCAATTGTGACCGCAATCACTATAGCAACTCCATAGCAACCCATAGCAACGCCATAGTAACAGCTTCAGTTTGCTGTGAAATGAACTGATAACGACATACTGGCAGGCTCCTGCGGGTACTAAAGCGTAAGAGCTATAAAGACATTCTTCTGGCACAAAAACAACAGAGAACTTCCACGTTGTACGCCGTACACAGCAAAGTGGAGGGTGAGTACGCGCGCGCGTGCGCGCGCGCGCGAATTACTGCACAGGACATTCGTGCCCACAGTCATGCCACTTCAAGTGATTCCAAGTTGGCAAGAAGTTCCTCAGGACCTCTGTTGGTAGCTTCTTTCCATGGTGTGATATCTGCCTCCCTCTCCTTCAACTGCGCCATGCAGCAGTCATGAATTGCCTGCTAGTGAGCTTTGAAATTTCGGTGAAGCGTGCCTGGCTGCGTATATCAAAGCATCCCCTCATCGGAGGGTTTCTCCGGCAGCCACTGTGCCTTTTGATTGTTCGTAAACATCAGTAGGCCTTCCAGCGCAACCGTGTCAAAATTTGGCTCTCAGTACGCTTTGAGAATTCGCCCAGGTAGGACGACGCATCGTCGTTCTCCTCCGCCTAAAGCGCATACTTCTCAGTGCCTACGTCCATAATGTCTCCTTGCGCAGCGATGCGCAAACCCTGGTAAACAAGAACTCTACTGTTTCCGAATGGAAAGACGACGCTGAAGACGATAAGCAACGTTTCAAACGCGAGCAAACAACAGTTCTTTGTGAAAAAACACTTTGCTGGAAGTATACGTGATCTACAACTCGCAAAAATGTACGCACTATGACGTATGCGGGATCTACCGAAAGCTGAACGTCAGAGCAACACGATGCGCCCAACTATCAGCCCGTACAACGAAGCATAGCGTGTACCTGTGCAGTTTTGCGCATGCACTTGACTGGTGCCACGCAAGTACGCACTCTCACCTTAGCAAATTTTGACAGGTCCTGTCACGTGACTGAAGTGCCTAACTAGAGGTTACGATTCACGTTATTTCCGACGTGACGCGCAATTTTTTCACGTCAAATTTGGCGTAAAACTCCAAATCTCGACGTGAGCTGCAGGTCACTCGCGTTGTTTTTCGACGCGCGAGCCAAATATTGAAATAACGCGAGCTGAACTTTCGAGTTACGTCAGAAATAACGTGCATCTTAACGTCTCTAATAATAGTCTTGATGTTCAAGCGGCTAGTATCAATAGACGATAGTGCACCGGTGGGCTGAGGGCTCTCTCAATTTTTTTCCTAGAGAATTCCTGTGGAAACTCACGGGTAGCGTGTTTCTGTACATACATGTAATGCAACTAGGGGCGTTCCAGTTTGGGTACTTTTTCTGGTATATGTTTCATGCATGTTTGGTATGTGGATAAAGCAATGGAGCAGAAATAATGCAGAATTCAAGGAAGTGCCCGCCATAAGGTTTGTGGCGTTCTCAGTGCCAATATTTCGCTGCTTTTTTTTAGCAGAATCTGCCGATTTTTCGAGCGACAAGTGTATGCACAGCAGAATGCATGGCAATAATTTAGTATAATTATCATAGCAAGATTCCATGTCGGTCTCATCACGGAGGCGGAGCACATTTACCCTCCCCCCCCCCCATATCCCATGCACGGGGTTTGAACTTTGCAGCCACAGTCTTGTGTCGCTCTGTGAACACCAGGGCTTTCCGATGTTCAGTGTTGCAAAAGAAGGATCCGCGAGCGGGATTCGAACCCAGCACCCCGGCGTCTTTCCGGGACGGTGCCCTACCGATTAGACTACCGGGGATCACACACACACACACACACACACACACACACACACCCATAGGTCCTTCTTGCTACATTCAGCAAATCATGCAATTCACAACTCAACACCAGCCAAGAACACAATTCTTCTCATTTTGTTCTCACATTCTAAAAATCTCACCGTGACTGCATGAACGCCTTTTAAAATAACTTACAGCTGTAGGCAGAAAAATCAATAATAATTATTTATGTCAATAATTATTTATCTCTCTGAAGATCAGCTGACCTAGAACAATCAATAATTATTTATGTCTTTGAAGATCAGCTGACCTAATAACTGTTATTCTACAGGAACTGGTGCTCAGAAAGAGCATCACAGAAAACACACTCAAGAAGAAAACATCCAGGGCGAATGGGTGGGGGGGGGGGGGGGGAGGGGTATCAAAATTGGTTCAACCGCTGATCAACATCAAATATACCACCATTGACTTAGGTAAGAGTTACTTTCGCTGACGAATTTGATGAATATTGATACATGAAAAATTGAAAATTGATATTGAAATGGATAACGAATAGTAAGAAAGACCAGCACCGCATGGTACTCAGTGACTGACTCTCTATCTATTTTAAAACGTACACTCAAACACTCATGTTCAGAGAGTAGAGAGCAACAGAATCATCAGTCACGCCATTCACACCCAGTACCAGGGCACTGCCAAACAGTGTGAGCGATGGGGTGCTGGTACTCCGGGGAGGATCAGGCAGAGAATAGACCTGATCCGTGAGGGTATCATGTACACTACACATATGAGAAGTATAATAAATGCCGAAATTATCCTTGTGACAGACGACCATGCTATGATCAGACAGCGTGCATGCGGCAGAGTCCACTAGCATAACATTATCTGGCGGGGTGGACGCAATCCACTTTCCACCAAGGGCCTTGAGACAGCACATGTCACTGCCACCTATAATGTACACGGAATTGGCGAGCTTCACAAGCGATGCATCGCAGCATGGTTGTGGTAGAAAATCTAAAGAAGATGGATAAATCCGAGTAGATTCCCATTGCTTTCTAGAAAGACAGTAGGTACTAGCATGATTCCTGTAATCATCATAAGAAGATTCAGAACGACTGTTGCCACCAAATAGAGAAATAGCACTATCACTCACGTGCATTACACAACCAACGTGGCTGTCGAATGGGACGTTCGCGATTTTCCTCCACTGGCAACGAGCTCCGCGCTGCTCTGTCTCACTATACTGTAGAATAGCATACTCGCCAACAACCCTGCAGAACATGTACAGCTTACCAGCATGGCTGGCCAGTGATGGTTGCGAAACCTGACCGAATTTGCGTGAGAGGTCAATGCTGTGCCATGTGTGTAGGTCTGACGTCTGCTTGATCCTGGTGACTCGTTGACGCTTGTGCCACACCGCGACCAGTTTGTTACTGTACACGGCCAGTTCTACAAAAGTGCCTTCCTGCCGCACTGCTAACTTGTTCCACTGCATTGTTTAGCATATCAGATAATGAACAAAAATGTGCGCACGCACGCACACACACACACACACACACACACACACACACACACACACACACACACACACACACACACACACACACACACACACACACACACACACACATACACACATACACACACATACACACACATACACACACACACATGCACACATACACACATACACACACACACACACACATACACACACACACACACACACATATGCACACATGCACACACACACACACACACACACACACACACACACACACACACACACACACACACATGCACACATACACACACACACACACGTACACACACACACACACACACACACACACACATACACACACACACACACACACACACACACACACACACACACACACACATACACACACACACACACACACACACACACACACACACACACACACACACACACACACACACACACACACACACACAAACATGTAAACATGATCATTTCAAAGGAGGCCTAAAGGCGAATTGTAAAATTTCAGGGACCAACCAGGCAGTTGATTTCTTAGCTTATGTTCGATTGGTTGCATCTGGATCCAGATGAAGCGGATCCACTCGATATGTGCACGTTCGTTTCATCGAATCTGGATCCAGATCCAACGGATTCGGATCCGATTAACCATACTCCGTGAGCAGTGTTGACCGGATCCACCGAATTATTTTCCTGCCAAAAATCATACTCTGTACGTGATATGTGTGCAAATGGCGGGAAGAAAAATGATGATGCAGAAATCTTTCCTGTTTCTCATGGAATCAGGGAGTAGTACAATACCGTTATTGCACTACTCCCTGATGGAAACCCTCAATAATCACTAAAATTCCAGATTCGATCAGAGGTAGCATCTGATTGGACCTTGGTGGATCCAAAGCATCCACTCGACCGATCTGGATCCGGATCCAACCAATCAAACGTGCCCTTTCACATTGGCTGACAGCACGCTCGCACTGAACACCGTGACAGGGTAAAAACTGTAAAAGCCACAATCAGTTTGAGTATTTTTTTATTTCAATGTGCGTCCCAGGCCCGCCGGTAGCCCTTTCCCAAAGGTGCTCGCCCATTTTTTTGCCCTTTTTGGCCCTTTTTGGAAAAGCCCGTTTCTTTCGCCCTTTATTGCGTTTTTTGGTGATTATCGCCCTTTTTGAGCTTTTTTAGCTGAAAAGGTGCTAAAATCTGTTTGCTCATGCATGCGATCACAGTTTCCGAGTGCTCGATGGGCCTTGGCACGCCGCTTTTTTGGGGGGCAACAAGTGTAGTAGTAGTAGCAGCAGCAGCAGCAGCAGCAGCAGCAGCAGCAGCAGCAGCAGCAGCAGCAGCAGCAGCAGCAGCAGCAGTAGTAGTAGTAGAATTTATTATTTTGATAGGGAAGGCCCTACAGACGTTGTCGTCTTGTTACAGGGAACCCTAAGTGCTCTTTACAGAGCGAAACAAAAACGGATAGAGTGTCAGCATGCCTACAACTACCCGCCATATCAGCATACCTACAACTACCCGCCATATCAGCATGCCTACAACTACCCGCCATATCAGCATGCCTACAACTACCCGCCATATCAGCATGCCTACAACTACCCGCCATATCAGCATGCCTACAACTACCCGCCATATCAGCATGCCTACAACTACCCGCCATATCAGCATGCCTACAACTACCCGCCATATCAGCATGCCTACAACTACCCGCCATATCAGCATGCCTACAACTACCCGCCATATCACAAAGTTTGAAAGATCATGATCCTGCTGCCGTACCAATCAAAAACTGCTTCCAGCAGTTCTGTGAACAGTTCTGTGAACATATACAGCGAAATCTGTCTAAGACGACCGCTCAAGGGACCTTCAAAATGTGGTCTCTGTGACCAGGTGATCTCCTTATCCAGGGTCATTTGACTGGAAACAGCATCACTTGATCCTGGTTTCAGTGGTCTTCTAGGACAGGTGGTCGCCTTATCCGAGTGGTCGCCTTGACACGTTTAACTGTACTGTACCACTGTACTAGATGGGTGAATGAAGGCTCCCTGACTGGCAATCTTCAACTGATTCCTAGAAACAAAACCATGTAACTCTGACTCCGGAATACATGATAAAATATTCGTGCAATTGCTGGTTTCGTCTTTTATACACATGTGTTTTTCAGTAAGCTGCTTCCTCTGTCATTGCTCAGCTGATTGAATGCTCCACGCCAGTCACCTAAAGCTGAAAATGAACCTCGGGCTAGCAGCGCAGTGTCAACTCTTACCTGTCTGTGTTTCTTGATGCTTGCAATCTGACTTGGTGTTGGCATGGCAGGCAGGACATGGCACGTTGCTCTTCCAGCGCTCGAGGCATCCGTCCTTTCAGCTGCAGTGGCTTCGGCCTGAACACAATGCATGTATATGTGCATGTACATAGTCAGAGGGTATTCGGTAATCAGTATGCTACAGTTGTAACTACATTGAAACAGCTGTCTAAGACCACCGCTCAAGGGACCTTCGAAATGTGGTCTCTGTTACCAGGTGGTCTCCTTATCCAGGGTAATTTGACTGGAAATAGCATCCCTTGGTCCTGGTTCCAGTGGTCTTCTAGGACAGGTGGTCGCCTTATCCGAGTGGTCGCCTTGACAGGTGTTACTATAATTCAAGCCTCAACTTGTCTTGTGGCAACACTGGCCAACACTCGGATGCACTGCTTTAGTTCACACAGCCGAACGGGTCTTTCTCAATCAGAATGAAGCTGCGAGAAGCGTCATTCCGAATTTCTTCAAGCCTCAGCATAAGAAAAGCCAAATATTGGATAACTCGATAATGTTGCAACTCCAGGCAACCTCTTTCCCTGCTCTGGCCATTGATCAGTAGTTTTAGCCAGCGGGAGAGGTATTGTACTAATTGTAGCCATGTTAGTTTTACCGTAAGGTGGCTCGTACCTAAATCGAAAACTAGTCCTTTTAACATCCTTGTGCGCAGGTTTGGAGAAGAACATTTTCCGATTTGGGTATGAGCAACCTTTTAAAAATATCAATAAAGAACGGAGAATCTAAATCACGTGCACCCTTCCATTTATGACTGTGGCTGAACACAATCTGCTTGACGGGAGATAGCATGCAGACAGTTGTCAATGTTCGCTTGTCCAATTTTGTCTTCTTCCCCTTTTATGTTGCTGGCCAGTGATTTGTAGTAAAAGACAAAACATGTTGTTCAACTTACTGTTGCTGATGTAGCAGAGCCAGCAGCAGTGGCAGAAGCAGAACTTGACAGGCTTTCTCGTGAAGTGATAGATGCGGGAGTAGATGTCTGAAAGTTGACACAACACACACACACACATGCAAACACACACACACGCACATGCACACACACACACACACACACACACACACACACACACACACACACACACACACCACACACCACACCACACATACATGATGCAAGTTCACTTTTAACCCCAGCAGTCAATTGTGCATCACTTTTCTCTGGCCAGTATACAGACAAGTTCCAAACACTGTGATCCGGTCCTCCATATCATTCTGATTGTGGCCATGGATTGTAGCCATATGTTTGCCTTGTATCAGCCAAACAAGTCGAGTATGTCTTCCTGTTTGGCCCGGAATACCCACTACAAACAGTAAAATACAACAACAACCTACACAAACATTTTGGCTTTTAAAGCCTTTTATTACCTAACAGAAGCACCAAGCTACCTTAGGAATTCATTGCACAATCGCCAGAGCCCCTGTGCTGTTCAAGTCATCATAAAACTTCTCCAACTACTTTCCGATCACAGTCAACAATATTGCAGGATGAGGAGCTAGCATCGGATTTGGGAAATTTCACATTTCTTTTCCAAGCAAAACACATCAAAACGATCTGTTTCCGGGTTGAACATTTAAAACTACTTCTTCCGAAGTACATGTACGGGCATTCACATAGTTTCGTCATCCATAAAAGGGGTTTCCCTTGCCGGTATACGTAGACCCGCATTTGGGATAGTAATACTTATCCCGCGAATATTATTATTATAATACTTTAGAAAGAGGTAATTCAAGGATTCCTAGCCGCAGTCTATGGGATAAAATGTTCATACCTGCTGGGTGCTTGTTGCAGGCGTTCTCGGTGAAATCACAACGTGATCCGCATTCAATGAAGATCGTTGTTGGGAGCTCTGTGTGTTCTGGTGAGTTAGTGTTGTTGTCAGTTGTTGTTCAAGTCGTTGGTGTGTATCACTGAGCTGGTTGGCCAGTGCTTCGACTCTACGGTTTGTGGCAGTTTGTTCATTTTGAACAGTGGACACTTGTTGTTGAGTAGCAGTGAGTTGTTGTTGTGTCGTGGCTTGGTTTTGAGCAATGGTAGCCAGATGTTCAGTCAGTCGCAGAGTTGCAGTTCTCTGTTCATCTTGAAAGATGGATGCGTGGTCATGTGCTGCAGTCAGTTGTTGCTGTGTTGCAGTCAGTTGCTGTTGTGTTGTCGTCTGGTTATTGGCAATGGCCGCCGCAAGCTGTTCCTCTAGTGTATCACTGCGTGTTGACAGTGCAGTGATGGATGTCGCTTGCTGGGTTAGCTGTTCAGAGATAGAGTCCAGTCGACGTACAACAGCCGGTGGTACATTGGAAAGATGAGGCTGTAGTGAACACAAACACACACACACACACACACACACACACACACATACGTGCGCGCGTGCGCGCACACACACACACATGCACACACAAACACACACACACATACACACACACACACACACACACACACACACACATAGCACACCGGGTACAATCATCCACACAAGAAAAATGCACACATGCATGTACAACCACGACCACAAACAACCCCCCACCCACCCATGCATGCACACACGTACCCACACCCGCACAGGACAAAGGAATGATTAAAAGCATGCCTGGTACATGCACATGTACATGTGTATGTTGGACTACAACCACCAGTTCTCCAGCCAGCATACAATGTGCATATGCAGCACAATGGATGTTGCTTGAGTCACCATGGCAACAGTCAACTGCATCCACATATTCGGCCTGGCATTGCAGTCTACTTTCAGCACATGGCTATTGTTCTTAAAAGCAGTGATCGGCCACATCTGGCCTTGGTGGATCTGTGGAGGTGCTTGCTGTCGACACCGCCGGGCTTTTGACAAAGTCTCCCACACAGGTGTACTGCACAAGTTGCGGAACATCGGTGTGAAGGGTGTCCTCCTGGACTGGCTTAGAGACTACTTAACAGGTCGTTCGCTGGAAGTGGTCATTGGCGGCAAGAGCTCCGATCGCTATCCGATCTCTGCAGGAGTGCCACAAGGCAGCATCCTTGGACCGTCCCTGTTCCTAGTATATGTAAATGATGCTGATAGCTGCCTGGCTCCAGGGTCTGAAATGGGAACATTTGCAGACGACACCACGTTGTATGCGTCAATACACGCGATGATGCCATACACCAAGCTGACAGTCTCCAAGCTTCCGTCAATGCGTTACGTGCATGGGGAACAAAGTGGCATGTTAAGTTTGAACCATCCAAGTCGCAGCTCCTACAAATCTCCTGCCATCGACAGCAGCCTTGGCCTGTCCCCGCAATAAACTTTGGAGGGGAGGTCATCCCACAACAGCCACACCTCAAGCTCCTCGGAGTTATGGTTGACTCCAAGCTTTCCTTTTCCACGCATCTCCGGTCAGTTGCTGCCAGGGCAAACTCACGTCTTGGCCTCCTACGTAGAGCTGCTCGCGTTCTGGACTGTCGTGGCATGCTGGCTGTGTATCACGGCTTCGTCCGGCCCCTGCTCAAGTACGCTCCCCTTGTCTGGATGGGAGCTGCTCCCACCTACCTTGAACACCTTCACAGAGTGCAGAGGCGTGCCTTCCACATCCTGGGACCCAACATCTTGCTACAGAGCCTCGAGGCCCGACGGACAGTGGCGGCGCTGACTTTCGTCTACGAGCTACTGGGCCAACCAGGTCCTCCTCTGCTGAGATCCATGGTCCCCCCTCTCGTCGTCCACCATGCCGCACCTGTAACCCGGAGACAATGCCAACAGTCTGCTTCACACCCCTTCCAACTGGAAAATGTTCTCCCTCCAGGCGCTCCTAACTACCTAAGACGCGCCTTTCCATACAACATCATCAACACCTGGAACGCGCTGCCATCCTCCCTCTTCACCAAACCACCATCTCCTAAGGGCCTACAATCCTTCAAAGCGAACGTCCACTACCATCTTCGCCGAAGCCAGTGGCTTTGGGCCACAGACTCCCTCTAACAGTTCAGAACAATTTCCATCTTGAAGCTCCCCCCCCCCCCCCCCCCCAGCATTGCATCATGTTCACTGCATCTGAACTGCCTTTGAATCTATTTTTCTCTCTTCGTGTTCTCTCTCCACCCCACCACCCCCCCCCCCTCTCTCTCTCTCTCTCTCTCTCTCTCTCTTTCATTTTCTCTCTCTCTCCCCAACCATTCTACCTCACCTTCCGTTGTCTTTATCGCACTAAATGACCCCTTCTTTTAGGCTATGGTGCGCAAGCTTACGTTAACGCCGAGACCATATAGGTCGGTGTTGTGGGCTTGCCTCACCAGCACAGGCTTGCTTTGCAGCCCCTACTCTCCCTGCTGTTTCGTTATTGTATACTCTATTGTCTTCTCCCCTTCTGATGAGTAGGTTGTGGACTTAGGAAAAAAAATAAAAATAAAAAAGCTTCGTGTACATTCAACAGGCTGCACACGACTTGAAAATTAAAGAAAAAAGCTCATAACTCGGATTGACACCATCGAATGTGAACGACATGAACTGAAGCCCAATACTGGAAGCTGAAGGAGAAAAGGTTCTGTTCAACTTCTCATTCTGCATGTGACGGCGCATACGTACAAACCGGTTGCATTTTGAATTTGAACAGGTGACGACGATGTCTCCGGCTGTTTTCCGGCAGCTATTCCTAAACCTAGCGCATTACACCACAATCATGCTTGCATCCAGGGATTGTCTCGTGCAGATTGGCATTGCTGACGTTGTCTTGCACAATTTGTACGGTATGTTTGCAGTTCGTCCAAACATTCTTGAAAGGCTCTTACTAAGTTACTGACTGTATATTCAGGGTCACGTCGAAAATGAACCATCCGACGTTACATTCGAAAGCTCCCGTCTGACAAGGCGCCAGGCCCAGACGGCATCACTAATCTGGTATTAAAGTCCCTTGCGCCCTCAATAGCATACCCCTTATGTCTGATTTTCAACCTATCATTCCGCACTGGTCGTTTCCCTCTGCATGGAAAACAGCTAATGTTATACCGATCTACAAGAAAGGGTCCCGCCACGAAGCATCAAACTACCGTCCGATATCTCTACTGTCCTGTGCTTCCAAACTCTGTGAGCGCGTTTTCTACGACCAATTGTACTGTCATGTCTCGTCACGTTTGAGTTCAGCTCAGTCCGGATTTCGCAGAGGCGATTCTACCACCCTCCAGCTGACGCGCCTGGTGCAATTAGTGTGTCGACATCGGGATGCTGGAGATCTAGTCGGGATCTGTTTTTTCGATCTTGCCAAGGCCTTCGATACCGTCTGGCACCGGGGGCTCTTGGCCAAGCTTCGTGGATCATTTACTGTAGACGGCAATCCCCTGCTATGGCTGATATCTTACCTAACTGGGCGAACGCAGTATGTCACGGTACATGGGACGTCTTCAGCCGACACAACAGTACTATCCGGAGTTCCCCAGGGGTCCATCCTCGGCCCCCTTCTTTTTATCTTATACGTCAATGATCTGCCCGCAGCTGCCCCGGGCACATCGCTATTCGCAGACGACACAACGCTCCTACGGGCATCTCCTAACATCACTGGCCTGATGAGTAACCTAGCTAACGGGATTCAAAGAGTAATTTCCTGGATGTCGTCTTGGCGGTTATCGCCCAATCTGTCTAAAACTAAAATCATGCTCTTTCCTTCTCAGCCTGATGTTCTGCCCCTCCTCCATCCCACTTTCCCCCAGCCTATAGACATAGTCTCCAGCCATAAGCATCTTGGCATTTTCATTGACTCTAATCTTTCATGGAAACCCCACATCGATTACATATGTAAACGATCAAGTTCATCTTTAGGAATCCTCTCTTCTCACTGTTACCATCTCCCAATCTCTTGTAAACTCATCTTTTACTCAGCTTACCTACGCCCCATTTTTGATTATGCAGATACTGCTTGGGCTGGAATTTCCACAACCCGTGCTGCCAAGCTCGAAATTCAGCACAAAAAAGTTCTAAAAATCCTCCTCCGAAAACCCCGCATGCTCCCATCTTCCACCCGTTATGCCCTTGCTGACACTACCCCTTTGTCTAAGAGACGTAATTCACATCTTGTCACCCTTATCCATTCTCTCAAACTCAATCTGTGTCCACCTCACCTCCACTGTTTCAACTGGTTTTCTTCCCGTAGCACGAGAAACTCCCTTTCCCTTCCGAAACCCAAGTCCTCCTTTCTACTTCACTCTCCCCTTTTCACTGCGTACTCTGCGTGGCTGGCACTTCCCCAAGAAGCTAAGGACCTTTCTTCCCTCCGCCTTTTTAAGAGCCTTGTCGCGCCTTGACTTTGATTTTGTGTTTCTCAACTTTTTGCAATCACTACTTATCCATGCCGGTTCCTTTTTTTTCTTCTCCTCCCCTTCTCCCTTCCTTGCCGTGGTTGGCTAACACCCTCTCTCTTTGTATTGGCCGGTGTTCTCACTGTGCTATGAGATGCTGTAATAAATAAATAAAATTTAATAATAAATAAAAACCATACATTGAGCTACAGTCCATTCATCGGAAACTGGCCCGCTGGCTTTTGAAAGTCGGATTTGGGCCAAATTGAGGATCAAAAACCCACTTTAAATCTCAAAAATCTGGGTTTTGGATCTGCTTCTCCATACATTTTGCCATGGCATACCTGTCCTAATTTTGTAAAACCTGGCTGAATTTCTATTTCCCTGTTCTTGGACTTTTCTGGCCTCAAATGTGGCAAGGAGTAATTGCACGGGTCACACAATGCAGGATGTACTGTTGTTTTCACGATATCTACAACTATGTGACAGAGACACCAACAAGTTAGGGTGCCAGTTTCCAATGAATGGACTGTAGTGGTGTACACGGATAGTCGGGTATCCGTGAGGACCTCGGGTAGACGGGTACAGAAAGTTACGGTAGTACCCGAAAACCCGAAGTCGCAGATGACATCATGTACAGTGCACGTGTACAAATTCATAATTATAATACTCCGCATGTCTACCCAGTGTGTAAAGGAAGGGGTGCATTGTTGTGTTACCATGGAAGCATTACCCGACAGGATACCCGTGCTACCTGTGGAAAACTACCCGATACCCGAAGAAAATGCTACCCGGCTTAGCCCTACTTTTAGCCTATAACTAGCTCACATTCGACGGGGTGCGATGGGCCGCGACCGAGGGGACGACGGGATCTGACGGGACACTCATGACGCCGATTGATGGCATCTCCTGTGAACGCCAGGAATGAGAACGCAACCATACTTCCGTACGAATCGGGAAGCGGCGGAAGAGTAGAATCTGTTTTACTGTTCACACTGCATGCGAGGATCTAACCGCACAAACCGGCTGAATTCCAAGTGTGAACAGGTCCCCAAGTTGTGCACCGATGCGCGTAACTGCAACTGAAATTTCTGCATTTCAAGCACTGTGATCCCATGATAACTTATCGAGTGACTGTGGATCATGAGGCTGAGTTGAATTTTAGCAAGCTAGGATGTCCTGCTAAGTGCTGTGTTTGGGGTGGTCTTGGGATGTAAGAAATACTTCAACAAACTACGAAGAAATACATCAACAATGTCAAAGCACTTACCGTGGAAAGACCGGTGAATAGCTGTAACACTCGCTTCATTTCCTCGTGTACTTCCTCTGCAGTCGGTCGCTCGCTGGGCTCATTGGAGTGGCAGCGAAGAATGAGCGCCTTCAATGGGTGCTCGTCCGGCAGTCGGTGCAGATACTCAGCACGTCGTCTGGTCTCTGCGATCACCTGCCTCGTCTCCCGTCCATTGACCTCCCGAACGACGACTGAGGGTGCGCTGAGGAGGTCAATCCCCGGCATAACTCCAGTCAAAACAGCTAGCAGTGTAACGCCCAGCGAAAACACATCCAGAGGACGATCATACTCCGGTTGCTCTACCAAAGCCTCTGGCGGCATAAATAGCAGGGTGCCCGGACAGCGAGTCATGGCCATTCTAGACGCTTGCGCGTGCTGCTGTTGTTGCCGAGGGGAAACCAGCAAATGTACGAACTTCGCAACACCGAAATCGCACACCTTTGCGACGCCGTTCTTGATCATCACGTTTTTCGGTGCGAGGTCTCTGTGGAGAATACCACGAACGTGCAGGTATCTTATACCAGCCGACGTATCACAGAGGTAGCCGACCAGCTTCAAGCCATCGTCACGGTCCTCACCAACACTCAGCTCTTCCAACGTCGAAGTGAGCAACTCCAACGCTAGAGCAGCGTTACGCCCAACTCGTGCAATGCCCAGCAATTGACAAAGATTAGGATGGTGCACGCGACTGAGACGGAAGACCTCTTGACCAAAGGACCGGAGTTTTTCTTCTCTGTCCTGAACACCAGGCTCAATCAAAATGGGATGCAGGACTTTCAAGGCTACATCTATCCCCTGCCAATTCACACGGTACACGAGTGCATCTGACCCACGACCGAGTTCATCCTGCTGCCTGACCTGTACATCTCCCAAGAAAACAAGGTCCTCCTGCGTCAGGCCCAACTCTCGCATCAATGGCAAAGCTTCACGCTCCATGGCGCTAGCGCAATGCAAACATTGTTGTCACTGAGCTAACAAAGCAAGGCAGGATAGTCGAGTGGAGCCAATTCGGAGTAAACAACTGAATTCCAAACGTTGCGACTGTTACCGAGTGATGCGCTACTCTCCAAAGTCGGACTCAAGTCAAAGCGCTGTTCCTGGTCATCATGGCCCTAGCGTGTCCGCGAAGCACAGCTTCACCATGACTGTGTAGATCTGCATGGTGTAGCACTGACTAGTCGACTACGAGTAGATCTACGACGCAGACTGTTGTCGTCAGTGTTGAGTGTAGTCTGTAGTGTAGATCTGCCATGCCCATGGTGTAGATCAGGGAGTCGTAGATCTACGACTCCTTGGTGTAGATCTACATGACAGTCTAGATGTTCGTGACCGTCACCAGCCGCATTGCCATTGGGCATTGGTGACTTTCAGCTTCTAACCGGCAATAATGGCATTATGATTTATGGCAATAGGCAATAATACGTGTAGATCTAAGTGCACCTTTCTAATGCATGACCAAGGCCCGGGTCGATGACCGGCCGTTACTAACAAGGTTGACCGTGGATAGATCTACCGGTATGCCATGATCTGATGATCTACATGTACACCGGGAAATGAGCCGAGTATGAATATGAGTATGAGTAACGATCGCTGACCTGGTACATGGTATCACAAGATTCCACCATGGCCGTACATCTGCTAGATCTACATGGTATGGCCGTTGAAAACAAAACAAGTACAATCATGTAGATCTACTACCGGTACTAGTACTACATGTAGATGTAGTACACAATGTAGTAGTAGTTGAAGCCCACGGCCACCCGCTGAAACAGGGCAAAGACGTCACAAAACGCCTTGCTTTCGCTTCACGGACATCATAATTCTAGACTTTTCTAAAAGTTTTGAATACACTACAGTGCTACACAGTCAGTACACATGGTAGATCTACACGTGTGAAGCTGTGCTTCGCGGACACCATGGACACGTAGGAATGGTAGATTCCGGACCCATAGGGTCGGCGCTGTGAAGTCGGGGTTACACGAGGAGTGAAGTTCGAAGGCGAAGAATGTGATACTGTAGTGTATTTGGCCTCAATCGCTCCAGTTTTTCCATAAATTCCCTGCGGTGTTAAAGATAAAATGCAAAATCGATGCACCCCTTGCTTGGCTCGAGTCTTGCTTTTTTTGACCTTTTCAGAGCGACCAAAAAATGATAGTGCATGATCATGATGATAATCGATAGTGCATTCATTCAAGGGTAGTACATAGCGGCACGGACTCGGTGACGCGAGGGCCGGTAGGTGACACCATGTAGGTCTACCAGCGCAAGGGGCGGGAACAATGTTGTGTTTGCTTTGCACTTACCATGCTTACTGGTATGCAACTAGCGCCATGGAGCTAGATGGGTTGCCATTGGCATCGATGCGAGAGTTAGGCCTGACCAATCACTTGAATCAGGACATTGACATTGTTTTTATGGGAGACTTACATAGTGAGGAAGCAGGATGATCGAGGGTCAGATGCAGCCGTCTAGTACTAGTACTAGTAGTACTAGTAGTAGTAGTAGTATCAGGTCTTTGCCTTTGGTTTGGTAGGGAATAGACTTTGAAAGTCCTGTATCATGAGATTCTCATTATTTTTAGACCGCTTGACCAAATGATCGAATTTTCCGCTCTCTATCCTGAACGCCAATCCAAAAATTTCATTGAACTAATCCGCGATATTCATGTTAAAACAAAATGGCGTCACGATTTATTGAAAGTGGTATAGTTGGTGGAACGAGTGTTCAAACCCATTTGAACTTCATACTGTTCGTCTTCTTTTTGACATGCTCCCTTTCCATCGTCCTTAGCTTTTATTTGTTGAGAGCTGTTTTGGCTTTCTCCTATACCTCTGGGGGATGCCAAGTGATGGTTTTGAGAGGCTGGTGATGGCTGTGAGCGAGAGTTTGCCGATCGGCGTCGTCCTCGCTATAGCGATGAAAATACTAGTTACTGCGCACCTGGCACATATCACAACACGTCGGAGCGTCCAGGAGCAAAGGAATCTTGGGTTTTCACTGGAATCTAGTTCCTCCAGCATCGTGTAGCCCACCGTCGGTGAATGGCGGTCCAGAAAGGTCGAACCTGGTCTTCTGCAGCATCTCGCAGTCCTGCGAGGCACACTGAATACGCCTGTCATGTATTCTACAAATAAAAATCACGAAGTTGTGGACTTTACAGTGATGAGTCTATCCTGTATGCTGCAAAAGACGCAGGAAATGTGACTGGTGTCTGTACACTCAGTGACTGGACGCCAACACCCCAGTCTTCTCCTGCAGGATCTGTTTGACATTGACATTATGCAGTAGGTCGGCATTGACCTGGTTTGGCAGCTATCGTAATAGTATCTGCCTGGTTGGATGTAGCAGGTTGGTGTTTGCTCGTCGTCCAGTCCGGAATTTTCTTGTAACTCACGGTGGAGTACGCGCAGGGTTTGTGATCATCTCTGTTCACTTCAATATTATCAAACACAACGTTCCCTTTGTCACTCATCTTATCCTGAGTACTGAATTTGCTGACAATATTGCACCATACTTGTCACAACCTACCGCCACTGCTGGCGGTGGCGACTGGTTCGTCAATGGCGGTGACCAGGCTGACTGACTAGCTTCGAGACAGCGGCCTCGTTGTCAATACCGCGGCAGCCTAAAGGTTGATTTTATTCATCCAGCCTCAGCGCCATGTTGACGATGCCCTAGTGACTGTGTGTCATGGATTGCCTTGCCATCAGCGGTCATTGCCGTCCACCTTGATGCAACCCTCAACAACTGGCTCAGCCCATGGGAGTCTCAAGTGGACAAAATTGTTGCCAAAGTAGCTCAGAAGATTGGTGCATCGTGGTGTAGGTGAGCACATAACTAGGACTTCCCAGCGTCTATTTGTCCAGGCTGCGATACTATGTGACATGCTGTACTGCACATTCTTTTCAGCACTGCAAGGCCGGCAGCTGGACCGACTGCAGGGGCCGCGCACATGCAGGCCGCCTGTTGCCAGTGCAGCATTCTGGAACGTTCCTTCCTTCTGAGATCCGTGGAATAATAACTTTCTTTGCTTCAAAGCAAGTTGCTTGCCTTTCTGTTGTGCTCCCAGTGTCCTTACAACAATAACCTACAGCAATGTTTTATTTTCCTTTCCATTCCCCAACCAATGAATACTACGATGTCGATTCTATTTCTTCATACTTTGGTGTGTGCCCGCGCACGCATGTGTGTGTGTATACCTCACTCGCCACTCGAAGTTCTGTTCCCCATCACTGGAACACTGCCTGTTCTTTCAGGACCTGCCATCATCTGCGGATGGGCATTCAATAATTGTATTGTGTGTGTGTTTCATTCAGAATCAGATCCGCTATCATTGCTATTAGAGACAATCTGTGGGTTCACATCCAGTGCATTTTTAGATCTGCGTGCTTTTCTCGCCACGGGCGCATACATGGGACATTGTGTGTGTGTGCGTCTGTGTGTATGGGGATATTGTCTGTATCGGCTTTTGGTACTAATGTTCAGGTCTGTGCTTGCATGTGTGAACATGAAATTGTTCGGTTCTGTGCATGCTATTGCTATGTTGTATATTATTGTATGTATGTGTGCATTTCCACGAACAGTGTAGACGAGCGCGGAGAGTGCATTCATCCCTCATCAACCACTTCCCCTTGGGCTTACGAGAGTTTTTTCTGCGTACCTCTCTGATACTGTATTGATGCCGGCACCTGTACCTCGATGTGTTCCTCTATCTGCAGTCGCCTTTAACCTTCGGTCAAGTTAACGTTTATTGTGCTCTATTTATCGTGCGAATCAAAATAAACAATAACACAAGTCGTGCTAGAGTGACGACATGTGCGTGTAGTAGGGTTGATGCGATGGGACGTTATAATTAGGTGGAACAGAACACACATTGGGCAGATTGATTGGGCATCATTGATTGTGCTCAGTCTAAACAGTGAACATAATAATTATCTCCAGTGACAGACTGTAGCGGCTAGCCTCCAATAGGTAGCTGGCACTAGTCGCTACTGCTTGTTTGACAGGTGCCGCCAGAACCCCTGTTGTGTCATGCTATAGATGCACATGCCCTATTCTGGGGCATACTGAGGTACTTTGATTTTGTTGACTGCATGTAGACAGCATCCAATAGTAGTACTCGTAGACCTTGGCTCTTTGTAGGTCAACCACCATCGCATGGATCGATCGGTGACTATGCACTTGGAGGTTGGAATAGCCCGCGCTGAACAGATCTTGCCATGGCCCAGGGAGTGAACTCGCTTACTCGACTATCCCGGTTTTAGTTAACCAGCATGAGTGGTGCAATTTGTCCATACCATGTTGCGAGCTCACAGTTGTTTGGGCAGGTTTTGAGCTGCACCACGAAACTAAGCGAAATAACGGCGTGACTGTAGAGCAAGGAAGCGGCGAGACGGCACTTCCAGGACGAGACAGGCAGTAGAGATGTGTTCACAGCACGAGCAACCTCTCAGACCCTGCCGGTACTCCACAGTTACAAGAAAATGTCGGACTGGACGACGCGCCAATGCAAACCTGCTACATCCACCCAGGCAGATAGCTGCCAAACCAGGCCAATGTCGACCCACTGCATACCGCTATGTCAATGTCAAACAGATCCTGCAGGAGAAGACTGGGATGATATTGGCGTCCAGTGTACGGACACCAGTCACATTTCCTGCGTCTTTTGCAGCATACAGGATAGACTCATCACTGTAAAGTCCACTACTTCGTGATTTATATTTGTAGAATACATGACAGGCGTATTCAGTGTGCCTCGCAGGACTGCGAGATGCTGCAGAAGACCAGTTTCGACCTTTCTGGACCGCCATTCACCGACGGTGGGCTACACGATGCTGGAGGAACTAGATTCCAGTGAAAACCCAAGATTCCTTTGCTCCTGGACGCTCCGACGTGTTGTGATATGTGCCAGGTGCGCAGTAACTAGTATTTTCATCGCTATCGCGAGGACGACGCCGATCGGCAAACTCTCGCTCACAGCCATCACCAGCCTCTCAAAACCATCACTTGGCATCCCCCAGAGGTATAGGAGAAAGCCAAAACAGCTCTCAACAAACAAAAGCTAAGGACAATGGAAAGAGAGCATGTCAAAAAGAAGACGAACAGTATGAAGTTCAAATGGGTTTGAACCAGGGAGTCGTAAAAGCCCGGGAGAGGACACGGGATGCGCGCACGCGGACGATGTTTGCCTCGGCCAGAAAGTGAAGCACGCTAGGCCGGCGCGGCCGGATCTGCTCGATCCACGGCGCTGTGCTCGTCTTCAGGGCAGGGAGTCCTAAAATACCAATATTTTACAACTCGTTGTTGACACCATAATCCGAAACTGGTGGCGAAGGAAGCATAAACATGATTGTGTGTCTGTCAGACTCAGTACACATGGTACAGGGGGTGGGGATTTGAATGTGCGTGTGTGTGGGGGGGGGGGGGGAGGCGTGTGTATGTGCACATGTGCTTGTACTTTTGTGTGTGTTTGTACAGTGTGTGTGTGTGTGTGTGTGTGTGTGTGCGCGCGTGTGTGCGCATTTTTTGTGCACAATTCCGTTATGAAGTACAAATGATAGGTTTACCTTTTGTACACTCGCCACGACGTCGGTTAGATTCACTGAGAACCTTTCTGGCCAACCTGGAGGCTGAGCCTTCCGTTTCCTAAACGGATTAAGTCACCGCGTACTCAGTATACGAGTAGAAAAGTGTTGAAATTATCAAGATTTATAAATAACGACCTGCAACCATGTACAATGTAGATAGATAGGGAACACACATTGATTGTTTATAAAAAGAATTCAGGCAATATCATGAATCATGGAACGAGTGCGTAATAATGCTCTATGTTGCGTTTTGACGATGCTGAAGGAAGGGAGCCGTTGCGATTCACTCACAACACACGCACAGAAGTCCACTCAGAAGTCCACTCCACTGCAATTTCTGACGCAAATTCATAAATCCACGAGTACGAGGAAGCTCAGCGGATCTCCACAAGAACTTTCGCCCATCACCTGCAATGGAATATGGGCTGTATGATACGACCAGCGGCTAACATGGGAAGTGGCTTCATTTTCCACAAATCTCGTTTCATTCACAACCATTTGACTGCAATTCAGTGCAATTTCTGCCACAAATTCAACTCCACGAGTACGAGGAAGCTCAGCGGATCTCAACACGAACGTTCGCCCATCACCTGCAATGGAATATGGGCTGTATGATACGACCAGCGGCTAACACGGGAAGTGGCGTCATTTTCCACAAATCTCGTTTCATTCACAACCATTTGACTGCAATTCAGTGCAATTTCTGCCACAAATTCAACTCCACGAGTACGAGGAAACTCAGCGGATCTCAACACGAACGTTCGCCCATCACCTGCAATGGAATATGGGCTGTATGATACGACCAGCGGCTAACACGGGAAGTGGCGTCATTTTCCACAAATCTCATTTCATTCACAACCATTTGACTGCAATTCAGTGCAATTTCTGCCACAAATTCAACTCCACGAGTACGAGGAAACTCAGCGGATCTCAACACGAACGTTCGCCCATCACCTGCAATGGAATATGGGCTGTATGATACGACCAGCGGCTAACACGGGAAGTGGCGTCATTTTCCACAAATCTCATTTCATTCACAACCATTTGACTGCAATTCAGTGCAATTTCTGCCACAAATTCAACTCCACGAGTACGAGGAAACTCAGCGGATCTCAACACGAACGTTCGCCCATCACCTGCAATGGAATATGGGCTGTATGATACGACCAGCGGCTAACACGGGAAGTGGCGTCATTTTCCACAAATCTCATTTCATTCACAACCATTTGACTGCAATTCAGTGCAATTTCTGCCACAAATTCAACTCCACGAGTACGAGGAAACTCAGCGGATCTCAACACGAACGTTCGCCCATCACCTGCAATGGAATATGGGCTGTATGATACGACCAGCGGCTAACACGGGAAGTGGCGTCATTTTCCACAAATCTCATTTCGTTCACCCCAACTCAAATAAAAGTGAAGTACAATTAGGGATTTATCTTGCATTTCCATCGCCTCAGAATAAATTAACTTCGATAAACTGAGAGAGAATGAGTGAGGCAGCTGGAAGAATTGAGGATGAAAATAGAGATTAGAAGACTCGACGGAGCAATCGTCTCCGTGCTCTAAGAGAAATCGGAGAATGTTCCAATTAGTATTTCAAGAAGACATCACAATTTTCGAAAATAATAATTTCCTTGCCTCGCAACACCGTTCCCTGGCAGCGTTCCCCGGCAGCGCGAGGCAAAGATGTTTTCTGGGAATGTGTGCCGTGTCCTCTCCCGGGCTTTTACGACTCCCTGCTTGTACCTGGTACATGGTGTTCAGAATAGAGAACGAAAAGTCCGCTCATTTGATCAAGAGGTCGCTGCATTTTTGGAGTTGCTGACTTCGACGCTGGAAGAGCTGAAGTAGGCGAGGGCCTTGAGGATGGTTTGTAATTGACTGGCTACCTCTGTGATAAGTCGGCTAGCTAAGCCGGTATCCGATACCTGTACGTTCGCGGTATTTTACAACGAGACCTCGCACTGACTCGTCGGTGCCAGGTCTCGATGGAGAATACCGCGAACGTATGATCCTTCAAGAACGGCGTCGCAAAAGTGTGCGATTTCGGTGTGGAGAAGTAAGTAATTATTCGTTCGTACTCGTAGGTCTACGTTAGGGCTCCCCTCAGCAACAACAGCAGCACGCGCAAGCATCCAGAATGGCCATGACTCGCTGTCCAGGACCTCTGTTATTTATGCCGCCAGAGGCTTTGGTAGAGCAACCGGAGTATGATCGTCCTCTGGATGTGTTTTCGCTTGGAGTTACACTGCTAGCTAGCTGTTTTGGCGGGAGTTATGCAGGGGATTGACCTCCTCAGCGCACCCTCAGCTGTCGTTCGGCAGGCCAATGCCCGCAATGGACGGGAGACGATGCAGGTGGCTACTAGAGACCAGACCACGTGCTGAATATCTGCAACGACTGCCGGACGAGCACCCATTGAAGCCCCTCATTCTTCGCTGCCACTGCAATGAACCCAGCGAGCGACCCATTGCAGAGGAAGTACACGGGGAAATGAAGCGAGTGTTACAGATATTCACCAGTCTTTCGTCGGTAAGTGGTTTGACATTGCTGGACATTGAAGTATTTCTTACATCCCAAGACCACCCCAAATACAACACATAGCATGACATCCTAGCTTGCTAAGATTCAACTCAGCCGCGTGAGCCACTCGATGGGTGCTTTCGATTACACTTTCTGGATGCATGTTTTACAATTCTCGAATGAACAGAATGAACGGATTGTGGCAAATAAATGAACGACTACACGTAAAACTTGAATCGTACAAGGGGATCACATGAGATCCCGTACATCCTCGCGCGCATGTGGACCTAGCATGACGTGTACGTCGAGTGCGTCATCTCTGGCGGGAGAATTAGCAATTCTACCCTCTCATCAGAATTGACGGAATCAACGGAATTTGTGTAATCGAATGGTGCACCCACCATAATCAATTCTAGAACAGCACGAAAAGTGTGTAATCAAACGCGCCCAGCAGTTATCATGGGAAGCATAGTGTTTGAAATGCAGAAAATTTCAAAGCTACAGTTGCGAGCATTGGCGCATGACACCGTCACCTGTTCGAAATTCAGCCGGTTTGTTCTGTTACATCCTCGCGTGCGGCATGAACAGTAAAACGAATTCAACTCGTCCGTCGCTTCCCGATACGCACGGTAGCATGGTTGCGTTCCCGTTCCTGGTGTTCACAGTAGGCGCCATCAATCGGCGTCATGAGCGTCTCGTCGGATCCCGTCGCCCCTTCGGCCACGGACCATTGCACCGGGTCGAACGTGAACCAGGCTCAAAGTCTGGTTCACTTTCGACGTGACCCTGACTGGGTTTGACTATACAGCAAGTAACGTTGTAAGAGCCTTTCAGGAAGGCTTAGGCGAGCTGCAAACTTCCTGTACGATTTGTCTTGTTGTACATGCATGTGTGCATTTCCCTGTGTGGACGATTGTACCGGTATGCTATGTGTGGTGTTGCTGTGCTGCCTATGCCCTGTGTGTGTGGCGTGTGTGTGTGTGGCGTGTGTGTGTGTGTGTGTGTGTGTGTGTGTGTGTGTGTGTGTGTGTGTGTGCGTGTGTGTGCGTGTGTGTGCGTGTGTGTGATCGCTACAGCCTCATAATTCCAATGTACCACCAGCTATTGCACATCGACTGCGCTCTATCTCTGAACAGCTAACCCAGCAAGCTACGTCCATCACAGCACTCTCAACACGCAGTGATACACTAGAGGAACAGCTTACAATGGCCATTACCAACAACCAGACGACAACACAACAACAACTGACTGCAACAGAACAGCAACTGACTGAAACACATGACCAGGTATCCACCTTTCAAGATGAACAGAGAACTGCAACCCTGCGACTGACTGAACATCTGGCTGCCATTGCTCACAACCAAGCCACAACACAACAACAACAACTTACTGCTACTCAACAACAAGTGTCCGCTGTTCGAAATGAACAAACTGCCACAAACCGCAGAGTCGAAGCACTGGCAGACCAGCTCAGTGATACACACCAACGACTTGAACAACAACTGACAACAACACTAACTCACCAGCACACACACACACACACACCTCCCGACAAATCTCTTCATTGAATGCGGGTCACGCTGTGTCGATGTCTAGCCATCCATCAAGAACATCTGCTACAACCACCCATCAGGTACGAATCTTTTGAACTCCCTTTTCGGAGGACAACATTCTATGATTGCTCGCATTTGAAAAGAAGCAGTTTTTACTACAGTGTACTTCAAAAGACGCAATTCAAGTAGTTTTAAATTTCAACCCGAAAACAGATCGTCTTGATGTGTTTTGCTTGGAATTGAAATGCGAGATTTCCCAAATCCGATGCTCGCTCCTCATCCTGAAATTTTGTTGACTGTGATCAGAAAGTAGTTGAAGAGGTTTTATGATGACTTGAACGGCATAGGGGCTCCCGCGATTTTCTAATGAATTCCGCTACGGAAACATGGTGATTCTGCGAGGCAATACTAGCCAAAAGGTTGGCGTAGGGTGTTATTGTATTTTCCTGTTTGTAGTGGGTATTCCGGGCCAAACAAGACGGCATACTAGACTTGGTTGATCGTGACAAGGCAAGCATATGGCTACAATCTATTTCAGCAATTATAATGATATGGAGGACCAGATCATAGTGTTTGGAACTTGTCTGTATACTGGCCAGAGAACATTGATGTACCACCACTGACTGCTGGGGTTAATCTATGTGAACTTGCACCATGGGTGTGCGTGCGTGCGTGTGCGTGTGTGCATGCGTGTGTTTGCCAACTGCAGGTATCTGCTCCAGCACGTATCACTCCGCATGAGAAAGCCTGTCATGTTCTGCTTCTGCCACTTTCCTTGTCTCTTCTCCAGCAACTAGATCGATAAAGTAAGTTGAACAACATGTTTTGTCTGTATCAGTGTATGCTATGTCCCGTCAAGCAGATTGTGTTCAGCCGCAGTCCTAAATGGAACAGCGCACTTGATTTAGATTCTCGGTTCTTCATTGGATATGGAATGTTGTATTTGGAATCTGTTAAAACTAACCGGGTTGAAAGTCTGTACGATAGACAAAAAAGGTGAGCGTTTACATGAAGGCAGTTGACCCGGGTCAAATACTGATATGCTGCCAAAAGTCCACTTCTAGAGTCCTGCATGATCACGTGAATATTTTCGCGCGAAATTTGCCTGTGCACTGCTATTCAAACCGGGCGCGAGATACGCACAGAAGTACGTTTGTACGATTTCTTCGACCCGGGTTGATTTCAACCCTCCCCCTGGGGGGAGGGTTGAAATCAACCCGGGTCAAGCGCAATGCGTCATGTAAACGCGCCATTCATTTTGTGTACATGAGGGGTTGAAATCTGACCCGGGTTGAAACGCCTCATGTACACAACGCATAAGGCTGTTGAGTGTGACCCGGGGTTGCTCACAACCCATTTTATCCATTGCTTTTTTTCTTTTTCTTTTCAACATGGAAATTGTGGGCACAAGTCACGCGATCGAGTCCACCGACTAAACCAGATTTTGAACTGTCAGACGTGCACAATCTAGCACAAAACTGACAAGGAGTACTGAGACATTCCACGGCATGAAAGTCTGTCTGTGACTGTTCAAAATCTGGTTTAGTTGGTGGACTCGATCGCATGACTTGTGCCCAGCATTTCCATGTTTTTTTATTTTTTTTTTTATACTGCGGTTTGAATGGTTACAACTTTAGCATAACTGGGTGCCCTATGACTATGTGTGTGTGTACTGTGTTTACGCTGACGTTGCTGCAGCTGAAAGCACAGATGCCTCAGGCGCTAGAAGAGCCTGCCGTGCCAACACCAAGCCAGATTGCATCAACCGAGGAGCACAGACGGGTAGGAGATAACACTATGTCGCTAGCTCGGTTCTTTTTCATTTTCTGATCTCGATGCGTGGAACACTCAATCAGCTGAGCGAAGACGAAACCGGAAATTCCACGAATATTTATCGTGTGTTCCGGAGTCAGAGCTGCATGGTTTTGTTTCAAGGAATCAGTTGTAGATTGGCTATGAGGGAGTATTCATTCACCATGTAGGAGAGTGTCTCTACTCTCTGGACATGAGTGTTTGAGTGTACCCTTTTCTATTTTGTTTAATCGCTAGAGAGACAGTCAGTGAGTGCCATGCAATGCTTGCTTTTTTTACTGCCGTAAGTCAACACATTTTCGGCGTCTGTCTATTTTCGAGGTTTTTTAGCAATGGAAACAGCCTCTAGCGCATCTACAACGTACTGTCGTGGACATGGAAATCCGGTCGCACGTCTAGTGGCGCCAGGACGCTGGCCATGCAGCCGCAAGTAAGCATACGGTTGATCTACACCAGGGAGTCGTACCCAAGCCAGGTGCACTGCATGCAACGTTCGGTACGCAGCGAGAGCGCCAGCCCCGGTCATTCGACTGGATTTCCATGTCCACGACAGTAGGTGGTATTTGCTGCGTGCCCGCGCGTGAATCTTGCAGTTGAACCTAGATGTGCTAGAGGCTGTTTCCATTGCCAAGCTACAGCCTGAGCTTTGTAGACAAAAGGTGTTTGTTAGGAAGCTAGTGCTATTTTGACTTCCCATCTCCCTGTTATTGTGCGTGTACAGGTAGTTCTTGTACTTGTTGACACAACTCACACTATCATTCAGCCTGTGTACGTTTCATCGCAATTGTTCCCCCCAAAATGCTGTGTACTGAATTGACGTTGTTGTGCTTCATCAAATTATCACCATGTACTGATTTGAGAAGTAATGGTACAAAAGAACTCATCAGATTTGCAACTGGCTTCGTCTCTTCGTGTGCTAATAATTATTTTCTTCATCTTTTATTGAGAGTCTAGCTCTTGTGAACCCTCTGCTTCTCTAAAGTGTCAGGATCGAACGACCACACGGCACGAGGACGACTATTTACTCTTTAACAGTATATTTCACTTCGATCGACTACAAAGTTCATTCATCGGAAACTGGCCCGCTGGCTTTTGAAAGTCGGATTTGGGTCGAATTGAGGATCAAAACCCACTTTAAATCTCAAAAATCTGGGTTTGGGATCTGCTTCTCCATACATTTTGCCATGGCATACCTGTCCTAATTTTGTAAAACCTGGCTGAATTTCTATTTCCCTGTTCTTGGACTTTCTGGCCTCAAATGTGGCAAGGAGTGATTGCACGGGTCACACAATGCAGGATGTACTGTTGTTTTCACGATATCTACAACTATGTGAGAGAGACACCAAAAAGTTAGGGTGCCAGTTTCCAATGAATGGACTGTACTAATAACTAAGACTAAAACCACCAGGTAGTTATAGCATGAAAATGACAGCGTGTATGAGAAAAGCATACACATACAACATACAACTACAGCGCACACAGCAAACCGCACATAGCGCATGTAGCGTATACCACGTCTTAAACATCAGCGGTACGGCGGAGTCGAGATACAACTGCATTGAAACGAACACAATGTCGCAAGCGAGAAGGCCTGTCACACTTGAGAACTTGTGTTTTCATATCACTAGCCGTGTGGTTAGACGAGAAGGTAGAAATGCCTGTGTATCTGGTGAAGTGAAAATAGAAACAAACTGAGTGGTTGTTGAGGCTGCAGATTATTACGAATGAAAAAGGATCTGACAAAGGAGTCGAGTGAGTAACAGGGGTGGCAGGGTGGACAGGGAGAGCGGAGGGGGCCCGGGGGGGGGGGGGGGGGGGGGGGAGAGAGAAGGCCGAGAAGCGCCAGAGCAAGTGGAGTATGGCTGACCTACCAGACCACTGGACCACTGGCGATGGATTCTCCTGCCTGCAGGTCCTAAAAACAGTCCAGGCAACGCGGCACTAGCCTTCGTTCCCGTGGATGCACTGGGCCTCCAGGCTCCAGACAACTACCGGAAGCTGTAGATTTACATGGCATTTTACTTTCTCTCTCTCCCTCTCTCTCTCTCTCTCTCTCTCTCTCTCCTTCTCTCCTTCTCTTCTTCTCCCCCCCCCCCATCTCCCGATAATTATTAGCCCCTGTTTTCTTTCGACGCGTTTGCTGTGCAGTGAAGCCGAGACCCTAGGTCGGCAGAGCACATCAGGCCCCGTCACCACGTCCACGATTCATGCCTGCGATGCTGCACCGCTGCTTTGCATGTCATGATTGGAAGCTAGCTGTGGCCTTAGTAAAAAAATAAAAATAAAAAAATATATAAAAAACCTTGTGAAGTCCTCCCAGTGCAGTGCCCGAAGTACATGTACTACACTGTCTACAGTGCTGGCCAAAGAAATCCAACCTCGTGTATACGGTAGCGCCACGTTAGAGTTAGAGTGCACAGAGCCTAGCGCACGGCGCTGGTTTTATTCATGAGGTTGGATTTCTCTGACTTCTCTGACCCTGGTCTTAAAGGCCTAAAGGCCTTACTACATGTTCAGTAGAGTAGAGTCAGTATCGGCAAGAGTACATAACCCCGGGTGTTACCCAATATGCGGGCAGAACTGTTTCGTCCGTTGTGGACTCGTCAGCGCAGCACAGAGGAAATGAGGCCGAACCTGGTAGCAATGAAAAATAAATTTTCCAAAGCCAGATTTAAACCAGGCCCGAACGTACCTTGCCAGAGTGCTCACACTGACAAGTCAGTGAGCTCTGCATAACGGGTGTAATGTACTCTTGGCATCGCCTACATGTACACTAGCGTTGGTGTTTGGTTTTTGAGCATTTTATCACTATAAGCGATATTATTGCTATGACCGATACTGCATGCAATGTATGCGAGTGGGGTGTCAAATGACTCAGCGCGCCGTGCGCATGCGCACTGCATAGCTGGCTACAGCTCCTGACACGCAACATAAGCATTTCCTCACGATGGAGGCATGTTTGGCAACTTGTACGAGCAGAACTCACCAAACAACACTGGAAAAGGTTGTTGGTTGGTTGGTTTTTATTTCACTTCGCACATTCAAACGGGACGACGACCCAATAAAATGACGGCGAAGGCTTAGCCTAGAAATGGCTATGGAAGAACATAAGAAAAGGTCTTTACAAAGAAGTAACACCCGTTCTTCTCTGACACCACTTGTTTTTACATCAATCACGACAACCGATGCAAAAATAATGTAATAAAGGTCTTTTGAAATATGAGATTTGATCACTATGCGACGCATTACTGTATACTATAGACGATTATTGCTATACGCGATAACTGTGTATACTTAGTTATGGCAAATGAAAATGAATTTGAGAAATTGATCACTATAGCCGGCATATTACTACGTGTACATTTATAGCCGCCAACCTTATTAAGTATAGGCATTGAAGTGGTCACGGACGGAGCACGCTACCTGGGTGCCGCTATAGGGACACCGGATTTCATCGCTGGCTATACAGCTGGGAAAGTTCAAGACTTGAAGCAGGAGCTTATGCGACTGTCCGAGATTGCCACCACCGAACCTCATGCGGCGTATGCCGCCCTCACACACGGACTGCGTGGTCGATGGACATATCTCCTTCGTACACTGGAGTTCTGTCATGTACAATTATGTACATGATTGTACATAATTATTATAACCTAACACTGGTTAAAAACCAGTACCGTATTTTCCGGGGTATAAGCCACACTTTTTTTTCGCTAAAAATCGGACCAAAATCGCCCCTGCGGCTTATACACTGAATATGCTTGCGCGAATGAATGCTTAGCATACATCAGTATGCATGCTGACGTCATGTGACATGTCATTCGACTCAGCTTCGCGCCTGTGTTGCTATCCCGGTACTTTTACTAGTTTTAGTGCATCAGTGGCAGCGAGACTGAAGATAGTGCAGATGACATGGAGTGATCTGTAGTCAACACAGCAATACACCAACATCTCTGCAGCAACCTGTGGTGCACTAACACTAAGTAATTAGTTGTCTTCATAATCTGATCTAACATGGTATTTAGCTCCATAACCATAATAAATTTGTAGAAAGGCCATTTGTCAATGAGTGTGAAAAATCTTGGTTTGTGGGTGCGGCTTATACTCCGAATACCAATTTTTAGTCAATATTTTGCCTCAAAAAGGGGGGTGCGGCTTATACCCCGGTGCGGCTTATACCCCGGAAAATACGGTATTAGATAAACCTTGTTATAGTTCACGCAATTGTTAGATTGACAGCATGAAACAAGGTGGAGGACACTGTGTTCGGAAACAGTGACCTTACTACAACCTTCCGCGGTTGGCAGAGCCCCGGTCCCTGCGGACCATTTGAACCATAAATTATTATAGGTATCGCACCCGGTTCTGACCCTCATTATGCTAGGGGGTTAGGAGACTCCTCCTGATGTCGTCTGGTTTTCTTCGCTCTTTTCTTTAAAGGGGAAGTTAAGGCAAAAATTAAAATTTCACCAGTTGTAGTCTTCGGGGTGCTGAGTCGAATGGTCTTGGTCCGAGAAAGCTGAGACGCTCCCTTCCTACTTGAATCCCAATCGAACTCGCGCACTTCCACCGAAACTGGGTGACTGCGCCCTACGAGATGGGGATTTGTATGCAAAATGTCATTAAAAGCGCCATTTCGTTCTTATAAAAGCACGGATGACCGCGATTGGCCCATATGTTGTAGTCTTTTGGACGCTGAGTCGACTGGTTTTGGTCCGAAAAGGCTGCGATGCAGCGTTCCTCCTTTATTCCCAATCGAACATGGTTGAAGAAGCGGTCACGTGCTCTGGGTGCCAAAATCACCTGGTCACCACGCCAGCAGGCGACAACTTTCACACCAAGGTTCAACTCGAGTGACAGGACTGCACCCAAAAAAGGTCAAAACAGGCTGTAAGTTGTACCCTGCAGGCACGGTGACCAGGTGACTGGTGTACGCAGGAGCACGTGACCGCTTGTTCAACCATGTTCGATTGGGAATTAGGGGCGAACGCTGCATCGCAGCCTTTTCGGACCAAAACCAGTCGACTCAGCGTCCAAAAGACTACAACATATGGGCCAATTGCGGTCATCCGTGCTTTTATATGAACGAAATGGCGCTTTTAGTGACATTTTGCATACAATTCCCCATCTCGTAGGGCGCAGTCACCCAGTTTCGGTGGAAGTGCGCGAGTTCGATTGGGGTTCAAGTAGGAAGGGAGCGTCTCAGCTTTCTCGGACCAAGACCATTCGACTCAGCACCCCGAAGACTACAACTGGTGAAATTTTAATTTTTGCCTTAACTTCCCCTTTAACTTGTATAAAGACTTCTTTTTCTTTTTTCTTCCAACTTCTGCCCATGGCGTCCTTCTCTCAGCTCGTCAACTGTCAACAGTTTTTTTGTCATCACCATGACACTGTCGCGAGAAGGTGCTCTCTGTAGACGGGGTTGGTGATGTCCCGATGTGGCCATGGGTAGGCCTTCACCACGTCGGAACACGTTGGTTACCTCCACTAGCCCTTTCCCAGAGGTGCTCTTTTAATTCGCACTTAGTGCTTTTCGCGTCCCTCAAAATATGCTGAAAAGTGATCTTTTTTCTGTGAAAACAGGCAAAAGTGCTCTTTTTTCAGGGAAGCATAGCCATGATACATGTTCAGATATGAACCCAAGCTGAGAAACGAATACGCTCTCTTACATTTATGGGTCCACGAAAGGCAAAACAGGAAATAAAGTTCGAAAAACCCACTTTTTACAAGCTTCACCAACTTGTTGCCCCCGAAAAAGCGGCGTGCCAAGGTCCATCGATCGAGCATTTGGAAACTGTGATCGCATGCATGATCTGAGCAAACAGATTTTAGCACTTTTTCAGCTAAAAAGCTCAAAAAGGGCGATATTCAACAGAAAACGCAATAAAGGGCGAAAGAAATGGGCTTTTCCAAAAGGGGCGAAAAAGGGCGAAAAAAGGGCGAGAACCATTGGGAAAGGGCAACCCAAAGGTGCTCGCCCTTTTTCGCCCCTTTTGGAAAAGCCCGTTTCTTTCGCCCTTTATTGCGTTTTTGGTGAATATGGCCCTTGTTGAGCTTTTTAGCTGAAAAAGTGCTCAAATCTGTTTGCTCATGCATGCGATCACAGTTTCCGGCCGAGTGCATCGATGGGCCTTCGCACGCCGCTTTTTTGGGGTCAACAACAAGTAGTTAAAGTTAGTTGGTGAAACTTGTACCCGGTACACAATGCTGTAAAAAGTGGGTTTTTTGAACTTTACTTCCGGTTTTGCCTTTCGTGGACCCATAAATGGAAAAGTGTGTATTCATTTCTCAGCTTGGGTTCATATCTGAACATGTACATGTACATGTACATGTACATGTATCATGGCTATGCTTCACTGAAAAAGAGCACTTTTTGCCTGTTTTCACTGAAAAAAGAGCACTTTTTCAGCATATTTTGAGGACGCGAAAAGCACTAAGTCAGTAAGTGCGAATTAAAAGAGCACCTTTGGGAAAGGGCTACCTTTGGGAAAGGGCTAACCTCCACTCGTTAACCTGCCTCCTGTTGATGCTGCCACGCAAACTAGTACTGGTCAAGAAAACTTGAATTTCATCTACAAACCAGAGCAACTGCTTCAATTTTGCTACACATTGGTTACCTTCATCAGTACCGCTTGGAAATAACTCGTATGTTGTTGATGTTGTCACGTAAACTTGAACTGTCAAAAAAACTTGAATTTCATCTGCAAACCTAAACAACTACAAGTAACCCCTCAATTTGATCATGCAGTTTTGTTAGTTACGTGCATACACTCACAAATTTAAAGAAAAAACGAGCTTGGATGACGTCTTACCTCCGGTGTCAACTCGTATCAAGTGGAGTTAATCCTGGGGTGAACGTGGAGATGTCCAACTGTGGAAGACATCTTGTCTCTTCACAGACAACTACCTCGAAGAGGAAATTTCTTGACCTTTTCAAAGGAACTACTTGGTAGGAGTGAGCATAGAAAATTCTCCTAACCCCCTAGCATAATGAGGGTCAGAACCGGGTGCGATACCCATAATAATTTATGGTTCAAATGGTCCGCAGGGACCGGGGCTCTGCCAACCGCGGAAGGTTGTAGTAAGGTCACTGTTTCCGAACACAGTGTCCTCCACCTTGTTTGATGCTGTCAATCTAACGTGAACTACATGTACATGCATAACAAGGTTTATCTAATACTGGTTTTTAACCAGTGTTAGGTTATATCAAATCGTGTACATGTATAATTATGTACATGTATAATTATTTCTTCAGAATTCCCAAACTCCATTGCAGCGTATTCCTTGCACTTGAAAACACCGCCATTCCGGCAACAGGCTCTCAGCTGCACCAAATAAATAACTTTGCCAATATTTCGCCCATTGGGCATCATCAGGGCATTGAGGAAGAGGAGGCCAAATTACGAAATATAAAGACGAATAATGCAGGCAGATGTTCTAGAACTAACACATCGTGGTGACACAATTGGCAAGGCCTGCAAACTAAACAATCATCACTTGTAAGGTGACCTAAACAAAACGAAAGATGAGAAAACTCACACATACACACAGACAGAATTTGGCAAGAAACCTAACACTAACACTAAAGTTTACAATCATCACCTGTAAGGTGACCTAAACAGAATAATGAAGACAAGTAAGACCATCACAGCACATACAAGAACACTTTCAAGTGTGGGAATGCTAAAGGCGATCTATGTACATGTATATGACAGCGGTGTATGTGCAAAGTATGTGTATGTGCTGTGTCAGGTGGTAAAGTCCAGTGGTAGTTCGAGGAGATGGGTGTCGATTCCAGTGACGATCCGGTGACATCCAATCAGTCAATTAGGCGCCAGCCGTCATCGCAATTGACTGCTGTTTTGCGCTTCCTTATCTCGATAGCTTCAAGCAGTTTCCTTGATGGTAGCGAAGCCTCCCTGCCGAGAATCTTTGCCTGGTGGAAGGGCAGAAAGTAGGAAGACTTTGAAGATTTTCAAGAATTTGAAGAATTTGTCACCTTACAAGTGATGATTGTTTAGTTTGCTGGCCTTGCCAATTGTGTCACCACGATGTGTTAGTTCTAGAACATCTGCCTGCATTATTCGTCTTTATATTTCGTAATTTGGCCTCCCCTTCCTCAATGCCCTGATGATGCCCAATGGGCGAAATATTGGCAAAGTTATTTATTTGGTGCAGCTGAGAGCCTGTTGCCGGAATGGCGGTGTTTTCAAGTACATATATAATTATGTACAATAGCTATAAAGAGAACAAATTCTGCTGTCATCGCCACACTACAACAAAGTCATGAAGGTTTACCAAAATCGATTTTCTTGTCACAATCATCAGTGGAAAGCCGTGACTGAAGAGTAACTGTAGTGTGCGTGGTCTAAGGCAAGGAGGCAACTACCCACAGTCAGTCAACGAACGTTTCAGAACTTAAATGAAGCATAGCGGCACAAGTATTGTATTTTGGAAACAATGAAGACTACTGATAGTTAGTGTTGGTCTAGCTACTCTCCAGTGTGTAGTGGCGCCATGCAAGGATCATGGAAGAACAATCGTAAATGTAGGAAGTACTGTATGCTTCTAAACAATAAGAGTCATGCAAAATACATGTACTACTAGTCATGTGTAAACTGTAAAGCAGGAATACTACATAACCATGCATGCTAAATCAATAATTTATAATACATGTACATTCAATAATGTGTTACGAGAACAAAACGAAGTGCTAAAATAGAATGAGGGAAGGTGAGACAATAGAAGTAAAGTGAGAGCTAAGTGCAACAGGGGTGAGGAACTAATTGCAACGCTAGAACTGTGTAGTGAGACAAACAATCATGCTGTGCACCTACGAAAACAATCTTAACGCAACTACATGCTTCTTCTGCTTACAAAGATCAGGCTTATGCAAACGAATACAAACAGCCTCAAGTACTTTCAACTGACTAGCGTACCGTGCACGACAAAGAACAGAAAAACTAAAATCATCATACACCTGCAGACACTTAGGGTGAGACAACAGATGAAGAAAAACGGCAGACTTCTTACGATCACAATCACCATCCGATTCCTCCTCTCCACCAACCGCAACCTCGTCCCCCGTCTCATCTTCCAACTCGTCCTCAGTGTCGTCCTCCGTGTCATTCTCCTCATCAACACCGATCGGTCCTAGGCTCGCTTCACGTTGCTGAACCTCTGTTCGTTGACTCCTCCTTTGATCTTGATGGTAATTTTGTTACCATTGTTGTTGTTGTCATTGTTGTTGTTCCTGTTGTTGCTAAATCTTCTGTTCCCAGTGTCTTCGCCGGTGCTTGACATCCAGTACTGTAATAATTCATTGAATAATTAGCCGTTGATCGTCTTGGTCTTTGAATGTAAATCGTGTTGTTTTCTCTGTTGAATTCCGTTTCCTTCAGCCTTCTTTCTTCTTGTTCATGTTCAGTGCTTACCTCATCCATAGTTGCCCTTGCCAGCGACACCACAGACTCAGCCCCAGCACTGCCGATGACAGATGCAGGTGGCGGTTCTGGGGGAGGCAACGGCAACGATGGAGATGGGGGCATCACCTCGTCACAGCGTCCACTTTGGTCTTGAGCTGGATGTTGTTATAGCAAAATTGTACAACAAACGTACTGCGCGGTACATTTTGTACCCGTTTTCACAACTGTACGTGCGTTCACGGTGAGGAAGGATGTCCTACCAACCCAACTCGCATCTAAATTGGTATACCAATTTGAGTGCCGACAATGCGGTAGTCGGTATGTTGGTAGGACTCTTCAACATCTGAACGCACGTATCAAGCAGCACGTCCCACTGCACATGCTGACTGGCTCGGCACGGGCACTGCGACCCAAACGCGGCAGGCCACCTAAGAACCCTCGATCACAGCCATCGTTAGCACAATTGCCGTCGACGGCAATAGTGCCTCCATTACCCGTATCGAGAGCCGTGGAGATGGATAATGTGCACATTGTCACTATAACACAATGCACGATAACAACACAAGAGAGTACACCACAACAACATCCAGCTCAAGACCAAAGTGGACGCTGTGACGAGGTGATGCCCCCGTCGCCATCGTTGCCGTTGCCTCCCCCAGAACCGCCACCTGCATCTGTCATCGGCAGTGCTGGGGCTGAGTCTGTGGTGTCGCTGGCACGGGCAAATATGGATGAGGTAAGTACTGAACATGAACATGATTTTGGTAAACCTTCATGACTTTGTTGTAGTGTGGCGATGACAGCAGAATTTGTTCTCTTTATAGCTATTATAAAATTGTTGTCTCTGCGTCGATTATTTACATAATTATGTACAATGTACAATGTACATGTATAATATAATTATGTACATGTATAATATTATGTACATGATTGTATAATATTATGGACATGTACAATGTACAATGTACATGTATAATATTATTATGTACATGTATTATTATGTACATGTATTATTATGTACATGTACATGTACAATGCTGGCAACTGAAATCCGACCACCTTGGCTGCGCGCCGCGCCGCCAAGGGGGTCGGATTTCAGTTGCCAGCACTTTAGTTCCCCACGTGCTGCGTCCTCCGTCTCCGATAGATATAGAGTGCTCAATGCAGAAGCAGAGCAGTAACACATGAGTCACAGAGTAGATCTACCATGTGCCACGCGTCTGTTTTTTTGTAACTGTTGAGGTGGCAATCGTTACTACCGTATGATCTCTAATATAAGCACGGTCCTTTATTTTTTCAATGTACCTCCACCCCGTGCTATTAATGGAGACGTTCCTTTATTGGAGACTGTTCCATTATTATTTCAACCTCATTTCAGAGGCATGTTGCCATGCCAAATTCATGTATGACACACACATTTCAGGGTTTTTTCGCCGGTACAGATAATGAATTTACACAGTGTGCTTATAATGGAGACCGAGCACTTTATTTTTTGAATGCCGCCCCAAGGTGTTCTATTATTGGAGACTGTGCTTATTATATTGGAGACTGTGCTTATAATTAGAGATAATACGGTAATATTGTACTAGTCCAACAAACCAGACGCGTGGTACTCTAGCTCTGTGAGTGTGACTCGTGTTATTAAAGTTTAATTTCTGAATTATACATGTAAAAGGTTTTTTTCACCAGCATGAAGTAGTTAGTTAGTTCGAAGCAGGGATCTACTCATCTAGGTCCGACTAGGATCGGAATGTTTCTCGGATCTTGACTTGAATAAGTGCCTAGCCTGGCGGAGCGTCGACATGTCGACGTCTGTCGTTGTCGGAGCGCGCGCATGCGGCCCTGGTGGCCGCGCAGCATAGCTAGCTGCGGGGTGCGACGCGCCAACGGCCCCAGAAACAGGCGAAGGAGTGCACAAGAGCGAAGGCGTACACTGTAGCTGAGAAAGCTTGTTGTTTGGCCGCGTGCAAGGACTGCTTCTCCTTTCTCCTGTTTCGTAGCGGCGTTGTGTGCAGTGTGAGGACATAAACACCAAGATGACGACTGTTGTGCAGACCATGGGAGGCGGTGGTGGTATGAGGAACTGGTCGACGGGCCTGTTCGACTGCTTCAACGATATCACCGTCTGCCTGCTGGGTTGCTTCTGTCCATTGTGCCTGCTCTTCCAGACGGCGTCGCAGCTCGGAGAGAACGGCTGCTGTGTGGCATGCTGTATCCCATGGCCCTACGGTCAGATGATGCTTCGGGTGAAGATACGCTCTGAGAATAATATCCAGGGAAGCATCTGCGACGACTATTGCACGGTGGGCTGCTGCCAGGCGTGTGCTATGTGCCAGGAAGCTCGCGAAGTGAAGTACATCCAGATGAACAAGGGAGGCGGACAGAGCACCCTGACGGTCGTCACCACCCAGCCCCAGATGCAGCCCGTCGCCGTGCAGCCGGCCATGCAGCCAGCGCAGCCGATGATGGCGCAGCCAGGCTATGCCTAAGCACTGCCGGTGGAGAGACGCTACGCTCGGCCGGTGCCTCGTGCTGCCCTACCAAGTCCGTAGCTGGCGTTGTTACAGCGCGTGTCGACGAAAAGGCACTCTTCAGTTCAAGCTTCAAAGAGCGGAATGTCGGCTTGGTGCAGCGTAGGGATAATGGACAGCCTACGTGTTGAACAGATTATGGTTAGAAATTCTCCACTTCAGAATTCCAATTATGGACGGCATTTTCTGTACCTGTGTCCTTATATTTTCGAGTGTTTCCCTAATGAGAGTGGTTACTACTATTTCTACTTCTAGAATCTACATTGTATGAATCAGTGTATCCTAGCTCGACTACTTGTCCTTTGTTCAACGGCCTATACCCCTAGCTCTGGAGTCTAGTGCCCATGATTTTGTATGTTCTCCATCCGGGCGCGAATTCTCCAGATTCATGCTCTGATTCTGAACTCAGACTGAAGTGGCACAAGGGCTCAAGTGTGGGGTCAAATAATTCGCTGATTCGATGCAGACGTACCGGTATCCGTTGTTAGTTGCATGCTGCATGTAAATGTGGGTTGTGATCATTGCAGTGTTGTGAATGACGAGTGGGAGAGCAAGGACTCTGAGTGCGGCTTTAGTACTCTCTGGCCTGGTGGCATGGTGAAGGGCGTCCGACGTAGAGATACTCAGATGGCCGCGCTCAGACGGCGAGAGGTTTATGCACGGCCGGCTACCATGTATACGTGCATCTGCTTCTGTTTGAACGATTGTTACAGTAACATGTGGAGTTGCACAAAGACTAAAACTAGTATTTTGTTTACTTGTACAGTATTACCCAGAGGCTCTAGTATCAGGCCTTGCGAGAAGATCTATACTGACTACAGAGTAGATCTACACTGACTACAGAGTAGATAGATCCACTCACTGGCACACAGACAATTTTCATGTGTTGGAGAGTACAGTGAGTGGTGTTGGCGTGGAACAAATAATAATTCTCCAACGACGTTACGTTATTCAAGTGCATGTACCGGCGACTTAGGTATGAATGCCGATCGATGGGTACGCGGGTTGACTTGTTTGAGTTCTTTCTCGCACCCTCAATCCCGCCTCTCCACTCCTTGGCGTTGGACTCGAGAGAGAATTTCTAAGCATAGCGCTTGTTGTTGTAACTAACTTGACATCGGTATACTTCAATCGTTCTTGGTACATGATCATTCTAGATCTTATTGAACCGTGCGTCTTCGTACCGGCCCATTGACTTTGTAGATCTACGTATATTACACTGTGTACGTGCAGATCTAGTACTACATGATATACATGTACATGTACGTGTGACTTGTACAAAATGTAGGATCCCTCGCGAGGCGGATGTACATACAGCCTGCTAGCGCTAGCACAAGTGGACACGCCCATCTGTACTGACAGAATGATGATTGAAGATTTACACTTACAGATCCCGTTTTGCAACTGCTTTGCATACAGATTACAGACTCATTGCCGGCATCATGTAGATCTACATGACTTTGTACAAAGTCATGTAGATCTTCAGTCTACATTGTAGTACTAGTACAGCCAGTCACTGAATCTTTCAGTCAGTGCACCAGCTCTACGCGTCGTGCGGCCCTCGAGCCTCATCATGTATCAGCGCTCATGATTGTCATACATACTGTGCAATCATGTGCATGTAATGACATGCACATACATCTTTTTAAAGGGGAAGTATACCCTAAAATCAAATTTTCACCAGTTGTAGTCTTCTGGGTGCTGAGTTGAATGGTCTTGGTCCGAGGAAGCTGCGACGCTCCCTTCCTACTTGAATCCCAATCGAACTCGCGCACTTCCACCGAAACTGGGTGACTGCGCCCTACTAGATGGGGATTTGTATGCAAAATGTCACTAAAAGCGCCATTTCGTTCTTATAAAAGCACGGATGACCGCGATTGGCCCATATGCTGTAGTCTTTTGGACGCTGAGTCGACTGGTTTTGGTCCGAAAAGGCTGCGATGCAGCGTTCCTCCTTTATTCCCAATCGAACATGGTTGAACAAGCGGTCACGTGCTCCTGGGTGCCCAAATCACCTGGTCACCACGCCAGCAGGCGACAAATTTCACACCAAGGTTCAACTCGAGTTCAACTCGAGTGACAGGAGTGCACCCAAAAAAGGTCAAACAGGCTAGTAAGTTGTACCCTGCAGGCACGGTGACCAGGTGACTGGTGTACGCAGAAGCACGTGACCGCTTGTTCAACCATGTTCGATTGGGAATAAAGGAGGAACGCTACATCGCAGCCTTTTCGGACCAAAACCAGTCGACTCAGCGTCCAAAAGACTACAACATATGGGCCAATCGCGGTCATCCGTGCTTTTATAAGAACGAAATGGCGCTTTTAGTGACATTTTGCATACAAATCCCCATCTCGTAGGGCGCAGTCACCCAGTTTCGGTGGAAGTGCGCGAGTTCGATTGGGATTCAAGTAGGAAGGGAGCGTCTCAGCTTCCTCGGACCAAGACCATTCGACTCAGCACCCCGAAGACTACAACTGGTGAAAATTTGATTTTAGGGTATACTTCCCCTTTAAATGATGTAGCGGCGACGGTTTCAAATAGGACACAGGTTGCAAAGCGGAACGGACTCAGTATTCACTTTCTCTCTTGGTATTTTGATTAGAAAACATATGTCACCATTGGTCACAGTGAGACTACGATGTGTTATGATTTACGTACAATCATACATGTACGTGCAATGCAGATCTACAGTAGAAATTGAGAATACATGTATCATACACATGTACAATGTCATGTACATGTACATGACATTCCTTCAGAAGAATACACTGTAAACGTTCAATCTGTCACTAAATAATAAACCCGATCTTCTTTTAGTATGAAAATACCGGTAATCATTTTTTTTTTAAAGGAAAGAAAAAGGACCAAGGAACTACTTTGGGTATTGTCAGTGACGTCCCTAAGGCCTAACACCCGCCGTGACCGGTGACCAGTTACATGTACTGGACAATCAGTTCATGCGATAACATTGCACGACATTACAACTGGCTGAGAGTTCTCTCCGTGAAGGCATAGCATGATTGCTTGACCAAAGCACATGCGGCGTGGTCTCAGCTCACTCCGAATCAGATGAGATCGTTCATGGTCTTCACAGTCAGTGGCATGTCCCCAGCAGCAGCAGTGCTTGCCTTGACTGCCATAGCCGAGCCGTCCGGGTGCGTCCACGCAGACTGGTAGTACGGAGGATTAGCAAGACGAAACTCGCGTTCGTGTTCGCAAACATTTTTCAGTTCGCGATTGCGAACTTTCGCATTTTTCGTTCGGAAAAGTTGTCGGAACACGAATCGCGGATTCGTGTCAGGGCAGTCATAAATTTACCACGCTGTAGTGTCTGGACACAATGTACATGATGTACGTCGTGTCAACGTCATGGATGTGCGAATTCTGTTTGCTAATCCGTCTCATAACGCGAACTCCGTCACTGACTGAGTTCGACTTTCCTTGGAGAGCGAACGCGAATTTCGTCTTGCTAATCGGTACCAAACGCGGTGGCAGTGGTGACATCTCGACGGAAGTAGCCTGCTGTGGCGGGGTGTCTGAGATGAGGTGAGGACGATCATCCTCAAGACATGACCCAGCACCCGGAAACGGTGTGCGAGAGTAGTTGCATGTAAAATTTTAACAGACGCATGTATGTAACTGTTCCTTCACTCTTCTTGCTTCAGGTCTTTGGGCAACTAAAAAGCTGTCGTTGTTTTCGCGGTGGTTTAAAGGGGAAGTGCATCGATTTTTCGAGTATAGTCCAGAAGAAAGACAATTTGATATCGGTTCGAATGGCATATCTCTCGCTTCCATACGATAAGCCAAACTTGCCAAATCGCCAATTGTATACTCACGTTGCCATAGCGACCAGCGCAGTGATGACGTACGAAAGGCTTAGCTCCACCACAGAGAAGGTCGATCACTGCAGAATTATTTGGTCATTTTCAATTGGTTTATTGTATTCACGAAGTGAAAGAAGGGCTGTGTTCAATGCTGTAAGTGCAGTGAACTGTTTGTTAGTAGTCCTCTCGGTTGTGTACTTGGACGGGACACCGACAGGAGAAAGCTGGAGCGCGGAGACACCAGCAAACAAGCGAAAATAGTGACGAACAAAATGCTGAAATCTTGGTTGGGACAAATCAGACGTTCAGCATTTCCCCCAACCAAGGACCATGCCGTTTGCTCTTTCCACTTCCTGAAGATGATTGTGATGCTTCCTGGCGACTTTCCTATCTTTCGTAACATCTTCTGAAGCCAGGTGAGACGACGGGTGGTGGAGATTGACGAATGAAATAATGTAGTAGGTTTGAAAGTTTGCTGAAAATGTCTCAGGAGAGACGGCGACTTCCAAGCATCTTGTCCTGGAGGAAACCATTTCCTAGGCACAGTCAGCCTAGGGAAATGCATGAGAAGGGCGACAAATAGTTCACGGCACTAACAGCATTGAACAACAGCACTTCTTTCACATCGTGAATACAATAAACCAATTGAAAATGACCAAATTCTGCAGTGATCGACCTTCTCTGTGGAGGAGCTAAGCCTTTCGTACGTCATCACTCCGCTGGTCGCTATGGCAACGTGAGCATACAATTGGCGATTTGGCAAGTTTGGCTTATCGTATGGAAACGAGAGATATGCCATTCGAACCGATATCAAATTGTCTTTCTTCTGGACCCTACTCGAAAAATCGATGCACTTCCCCTTTAATATACGATCTAAAAAGTTAAATGTACGGAAAGGAATTCGGCTACAGTGCAGTGTCCCAAAAACCGGGCCAGGGTTACCTGACTTGTAGATCTACTGCCGGCACTGCACTATTGCAGTATTGGGTCTAAAAAAACATCTACCGGTAGGTCTACGCGGTAGATCTACGAGTAGTCTACGTTTTGCAGTTTCGTAGATCTAGATTTTGTAGATGTGTGCCTAGGCGCCTAGCTACTAAGTACAGACAGTCAGTACATGACTGTATCGAAAAAGTAGGCGGATGTATTGTAGCGCAAAATGATAGCATGGTTTGAAGTGGCTAGGCTCGACAGCGAGTTTATACAATCGTTGTGTGACTGACTGTGAGTGTGGGCCCTGGCCTGTGGTGGCCTAGCTAGCTGGCATAGGTGCGAGTACGACGCGCCAAGTGGCAACGGCCTCGAAACAGGCGAAAGAGTGCGCAAGAGCGAAGTCGTGTTACTACTGCTACTACACATCACAGTACATGTACTCAGAAGCAGCTGGGAAAGCTTGTTGTTTGGCTGCGTGCAAGAACTGCTTCTCCTTTCTCCTGTTTCCTGGTTTGTAGTGGCGGCGTTGTGTGCAGTGCGAGGCCGTTAGAACGAAGATGGCGACTACTACTGTTGTCCAGACCATGGGAGGCGGTGCAATGAGGAACTGGTCGACGGGCCTGTTCGACTGCTTCAACGACATCACCGTCTGCCTGCTGGGTTGCTTCTGTCCCGTATGCCTGCTTTGCCAGTCGGCGTCGCAGCTCGGAGAGAACGGCTGCTGCTTGGCCTGTTTTATTCCATGTCCGTATGGTCAGATGCTGCTTCGGGTGAAGTTGCGCTCTGAGAATAATATCCAGGGAAGCATCTGCGACGACTATTGCACGGTGGTTTGTTGCCAGCAGTGCGCTTTGTGCCAAGAAGCTCGCGAAGTGAAATACCTCCAGATGAACAAAGGTGGCGGACAGAGCTCGCTCACCGTCGTCACTACCCAGCCCCAGATGCAGCCCGTCGCGGTGCAGCCGGTCATGCAGCCAGCGCAGCCCATGATGGCCCAGCCAGCTTATGCCTAAACTAAACATTTCTGGTGGCGCGACGCGCGCTAGTAGTAGCGCTGTCCTGGTAAGTCCGTAGCCGGCGTTGTTACCGCGCGTGTCGACGAAAAAGCATTCACCAAGCTCCAAAGAGCGGAATGTCGGCTTGGTGCAGCTTCGGGAGAACTGGCCGTCTACGTGTTCAACAGATTATGGTTAGAAATTCTCCTCTGGAGAGTTCTATGATGGATGGCATTTTTGTGTCCCTTGGGAAACGCTCGAAATTATTATTTCCAGTGTTCCCCCTGGTGGAAATAGTGATTAGTGTGTGCGAGCGTGTGAATTATGCGCAGACTTAGTTTAGGCGTGCATAGCTAGCATTGTTCCTACCCTAGAACTATGAATGTATCCCTAGCTCTACTTGTCCTTTTATTCAACGCCTAGCGCGAGTGCTTATTGCCCCTGGTATTGTATGTTCTCCATCCTGGCATGGATTCTCCACCTTTTAGATTCATGCTCTGAACTACTGAAATGCCACGAAGACTCCTGCAGTATGACTTATTTTATGAGAGTCGAGTTAGCTGATTTTGATGTGGACGTTGCTTGCTGCATTGCAGGGAGCGGACGTTCACCGTTGTGGTCGTCTCCGCAGTGTTGACTGTTGTGAGTGGAGGGCGTGAGGTGTAGAGACTACTAGAGTGCCAGTGGTACAGGACAGTGCTGCGCCGAGACTGGCAAGAAAGAGGGTTTCAGGGCTGTGTATATGTATACTAGTACCTCTGCTTCTGTGTGCACGATGTGGAAATGTTGATCTGACATGTTTTTTTATCGCAGACCCAGACTAGGCAGGCACCACGTAGATCTACCAGTCCTGTACTCGGCTGTAGTCTAGGCTCTACTCTCCAGCGGAGTCTTACTCATACTATAGAAAGTTTTAGTTCATGCATTCGGCAAACGGTGAGTACAGGTACTAGTGTTGGCCCAGTTTGGGGTTTGGGGATGCTAAAGACTAAGTAACCGTTACTATGACTTGGCTGCCATGCCGGTCGAGGATTGACTTTCTTTCTGGTACCCACAATGCCCCTTCTCCACTCCTTGACTTGAGAGGGAATTACTTCCAAACGTAGCGCTTGTAACATGATATCCACTGCTCTTTGCTGTCCATCATGGCGTCATATCGCCTGCCCCATCGTGGAGGGTCAAACCAAGGAGTCATCATGGTCATCTAATCGGGGAGATCCACGGAGCCGAAAGTCGACAGCACTACAGAGTACAGTACAGATTGAAAACTGGGTGCGGATACGAACCATCGCATGTGCACAGACTAGACGCGTATGTTCCCCAGTGCCCTTGGCCTTGTGTGCAAGCTGACTAGTGACCAGCATAGTATGTATGCTGGGGCATGCTGGGTTCCGTGATGTCCTATCTAGGACATCTCCAGGACTGGTGACTGGCCAGGCGTCGCTGGTAGGCAGCATACGTATACAATGGTATACGAGTTGATGCATCGATGGAGTACTACAGCATCGGTGGAGCACACAAGAGCGATAAAGTCGAGTAAACGATGCACGCAACTCCTCGCTGAGTCACCTGGCCATACTTCCTCTTCTTGCTTTCATTCAGCTGCTTTCCGTGCGCCCAAGTCCAAGATGACCATGATGCATCGATGACTGGCGGTAGCTGTGTGCATCATGTCAGCGCGTGATCACCATGATCACTGATCAGCATCAACAAATACATGATCAACGATGATGTAAAACAAATTTTAAATAATATTGTAGGTTTACAATGACGATCAACCACTACCAGATAGTCAGTACAGACAGTGTGTAGGTCAACAAAGTGACGTCATGACTTGTTGTGCACGTACGTCATTAATTTTACAGTACAGTGTAAAATGATTAATCGATTGTACATTTTGAACAATAGGGCTTGAAAGTGATGACGTCAAAACGGCCAGGGAGTAGTAAGTTGACATCAGATTTCTATTTTTGGATCCACTAAGGTGTGACTTTGCTATTGCCTATAAAGTATGTGGGTGCATAGCAACCCACTCATGTCGCATGCAGGTGTGACTTTTATTTCGCCACCAGTTGTAACCCCGCCCCCAGTAGCCAAATCAGTCAGTTTCACTGACTACATCACCATGCTGTGGGTAAGACCGCTTGAAATGTGCTTGGAGCCATACAAAAACTGGATCCAAGTGGATCCAGTTTTTGAATTTTTGAAATTGTTGCTATGCTGTGACGTAGCACTTTCAAGCCCTATACACTGTAAAGCTAGCCTGGAATGCATTTTTTGTGAATCAGTAGCTGTTATGGTTACCATGGTTACAGTGCCAGTGGTACTTCAAGCTGCTTGTACTTGTAGTGGGCGGATGTACCATGATGTACGGCCTCCTCCTGGCATCTTTACTTATAAAAGAGAGGCACCTGTGACGTGTGTCTGTGTGTGTGTGTGTGTGTCACGCTCCTTATAAAGAAGAGCCACCTGTGACGTGTGTTTTTGTGTCACGCTGAAGCGCTGCGGAGCAGCGCTGGCCTGAGCACGCGAAGCGTGCGAACAGTGTAGCACAGTGTAGCTAGCGGCCGCAGAAGCACTGAGCACGCGAAGCGTGCGCATCGTGTAGCTAGCGGAAGCAGCCACAGAAGCACTGAGCACGCGAAGCGTTCGAATCGTGTACGTGTAGCCACCACCACGTGCTGAGCACGCGAAGCGTGCGAACAGTGTAGGTACGGTGGTAGCGCTTATACTTAGCAGACACGATCAGTACGATACGAGTAGCAGTAGCAGCCGCGCGCAGAAGCACTGAGCACGCGAAGCGTGCGAATCATGTAGCCACCTAGCCTAGGCCATAGCATAGGCATAGCACTAGCAGCCGCACAAGCGCTGCGGACCACGTGAACCGTTCTCTGCAAATAGAAACATCTGCAACAAAAGGATACAAAAGATCTGCACTGACTGCACTCTGCATCTGATCTGCGGTGAAGAGCGCATCGCACTTTTGTTCGTAAGTAATATTAGTTTATGAATTTTTTGAGCCGCTTCATCCGCCACCAGGTGATGGACAACCCTGACCAGCCTCCCGAAGGCGTAACCAGTGGTAACAGACGTCCCTCCTTCTCCTTCCAACGATGAAGAACCTCCCTCACCAGGACTTCAGCGGTCTGGCCACCACCACGTGCTGAGCACGTGTGCTGTTCATGTACTTGCTTCACCCGCATGCCACATTCGGCCAGGCAACGCTGGCGGGGGTGCTGCTAGTATCAATATAATAGTCGATTTTTGAGTGCGGATGCAGTTTTAGGAGCTCCGCTCCTATCAGCCTTTCCGAGTCTGTAACTGTAACCTACAGGAGCTGTGACTTGTACTGCGGACTATGGCCACCAATGAGCATGTCGACCTGGCCCTTCTGACGTTCGACTGTCTACAAAACCTGGCCACCCGGACTGGCATCCCGAAAGCGGACTCCTTCTCACGGCCCGACCTGGTGGGAGCGCTCCGGAAGGAGGGGATTGGGTCCCACCCCATCCTGGAAGGTATGACCGGTATAGGACATGTCACGACTGCTTTGGCCGCATTGTCCTCGACAATAATGGACCTGAATAAAGAAATAGTGGCAATTAGGGTGGGAAGAGATGATGAAATTGCTTCCTTGAAGCTTGAAATTCAACAGCTGAGGCGGGAAATGGCTGACCTGCGAGATACTAGCGTACACACACAGCACGCCATGCCACACCAGTACAGCGACGTAGTACTAGGAACCGCCACACAAACTGCAAGTGCACGTGCGAGGCTCAGCACCAGGGAGTAGTAAAATACAACTACTACTCCCTGCTCAGCACCACAACGGGCAGGTCTGTACAAACGTACGGTACACACGCCGGCAGTGGCAGCCTGCCAGGAGAAACGCGTGTGCAACAACCCAACACTACTACAAGTCGTAGTTCCAGCCCCGCAGCAGGCGTGCATGCATCCCGTAGGTCCAGCACTACTACAAGTCGTAGCTCCAGCCCCGCAGCAGGCCTGGATGCATCCCGTAGGTCCACCGATACTGAACAACAAGTACATGAATGGCAGGAACACCAGGGCAGACGCACTCGAGCCGCCCAGAGACAAAGGCACGCGGCAGATACTAGTAGTCAGTCCCAGCTAGCTCAAAGCATAACAAGGCGGGTGGAAACATCCCGCTACACCAAGCCGGCTCGTGATAGCGAGCCGGCAGTAGACCTCACGGCATCACCCCGGGCCAAACGCAAAGTGTTTTACGTTGGCAACGTGCAGCCACACTGCTCCGCATCATCAATTGCTGAATGGTGCTCTGCCCGAGGAGTGCAGATTCAGGAAGGTGTCATATTTGCATCCAAGCACTTCAGAACTGCCTACGCACGGGTGACCGTCGAGGCAGCTGATGAGAACACAGTCGGTGACAAAGGGTTCTGGCCGGATGCTCTTTCGCACACGGTTAGGCCCTGGCGTTTTGCCACGGACAGTTTTGACACCAGCAATGCCAACCAGGCAAACAACGTCCTCTCCTCAGGCTCAGCATGATGGCGCGACCACAGCTGAATCCACTGGCTCGGCCCTACTTCCCCCCTTGCCAGGGTAAACTGACCTTGCTTTCCGTAAATTGCCGCTCAATCGTTAACAAATCTGCCGAACTGTCTGTCATTGCTGATTTCAACAAACCTGATGTCATCTGTCTAAATGAAACATGGCTAAATCCAAGCATAGCGCTCACCATCTCCGGTTATACCACATTTCGTCGCGACCGACCACCTCATGATAACAAATCCGGTACGGCAACCAGAGGATATGGTGGAGTTGCGATTCTTGTCCGGCAAAATCGCTTCGGAAGAGTCCAAGTTCGCGACGACCTTGCTCGTCCGACCTGTGAATCCGTATGGGTTGAGCTTCACCCAATCTTAGGCTCCCCGACACCCATCCTCGTCTGCTGTACCTACCGTCCGCCCTCAGTCAAAACCACGGAAATAGACCACTTCTGTGATATGCTAGCTAGTGCTTTGGTAACCGTTCCC